GATGATTTTATACAGATACATTTTTTGATGACATTATTCCTTGTTGAATAAATTGGGGCTCCAAAATTATTATTAAAATCTCAACAAAAAAAAATAGCTAATTAATTACAATAGATTATCTAATATTTTGTCAAGTATTTCTACATTTTTATCATTCCATGAAGTAAATGATGAAGTACATGGCCTGTAAATGGCTTTTATTTCTTATCAAGTTTCATATCCTGCCATTTTGTCAAGTTATTTTGTCTGATGGTAGCACACATGGCAATGTAGACTTAACTTACAAAATATTACCTCCACCATTAGATTATATATCACATCTTAAAGCGTTGATAATTAAAGATATCTGAGACAGTAAAAGCATCCCTGAGAGAATGATATTTCTTGAAGTCTCATTATGTCACTGTCCAGATTATTTAATATCATTATTTTAGGATATAGATAGTGAATGTTTAAATGCAAAATAAAAATATTCCTTTATTGAACAATAAAGTCAGAGACACTGAATCTGCTTCATTAACATAAAAAATTTTGATTTGTATGTTTGTTTGTTTGTATGTTCACATGTATATGTACAGTATTTATGATTGTGATTTGCAGATAAAAGGTATAGTTTCATTAAAGCAGATGACAGGACATGAAAGTGGTATAAAATGTTCTATTTTGATAATATTGGCATAATGTGAAAGTTTTGTTTATTTCAACATTGATTTGTAATGATGTTAGATACATGTAATTTTGTTAGTTCTATTTTAGAATTATATTTGTAGAATAACAGATTATCCTGATTAGCACTTAACCTGCTTAACGTAAAGTTATTAGCCTTTGTCACTGGTATACAGCCAGACCTGAGGCTGCACATCCAGGCTTCACACTGGTGGCTAACTAATTTCATCTTTATATCCTCTATATTAATCATGGACCATTCCAAAATTAAAAATTTGACAAGTCCATGTCAGAAATTCAGCAGGCTAAGGGTGATGTGTTTAAAATATTGTAATTTTTTGTATTCTGCACGAAAGCAAAATGCTTTTAAACTGTTTTTTTTTTGTGAGTTTACATATTTTCACTTTGTATAAGTATTGTTAATTACCATGATAAAAAATAAATCAAGAAACTAATCTCATTCTTTGTTTTCTGTCAGTTCATGTCAGCATTTATTAAACATTTGTAATTTATAATCCTTTGAATGGAAACAAGAGGTTTGATAGATTTAATGCCAACTTCCAACTCTTCCTGTGAAGTTTGTGTTGCAAAGTTATAAAATTAAATGGATATTTAAACCCAGTTCATACACAATCATTTAAATGCACACCAGGAATATCATTTTTATGCCCACGGGCATACAGTAATTGAACCATCTGTCCATACCAGTTTAACCTAAAACTACAATTTGGATTTATCTCAAGTTCTTCCCCTATTGATTTAGGGGTCAAAAGTTGAGGTCACATATACCTTGTTTTATTAAAACAATTTCTGACAAAAACTTGACCACCCATGAGCCCTTTGCTCTCAAACTTCACAGGTGCATTGATTTTGGCCAGTAATGACCCCTATTGATTTTGGGTCAAGGGTTTAAAGGTCAAGGTCACATTGAACTTTTTTATCAAAACAGTTTCCAACCAATAACTCGACCAACCATTGGCCGTTAGCACTCAAACCTGTCACATGTACATTGGTCTTAGCCAGTTAACAATTTTGGGGTCAAAGTCAAGGTGCAATTGTCTTGGCCAGTAGATGACCGCTAAAATTTTTGGGCCAAAGGGTCAAAGGTTAAGGTCGCATTGGCTTTTAATATCAAAACAATTTCCAACCAATCAGTTGGACACCTATAGCAGATAGCTCTAAAACTTCACAGGTGCCTTATTATGCTCTCCGAAAAATTTCAGGAGAGCATATAGTCGTCGGGTTGTCTGTACGTTTGTCCCAAATTCGTGTCGGGTTTCCGATCAATAACTAAAGAATGCTTAGGCTTAGGAACTTCAAACTTGGTATGGTGATTGGTCATGACCAGCAGATGACCCCTATTGATTTTGGGGTCAAAGGTCAAGGTCACAGCATGACCTTGCAGCAAAATCATGTCCGGTCCATAATTTCGTTATTTGAAGTCAGATTTTACAATTATTTCACAGAAATGATCACCATATTGATACAATGTGTCGTGCTCAACATTTGGGTTGTTTTTACACTTTGAACTTTGTCTGTGACATAACTCTGACACTACAAGAGGTATACATTCCTGTGTGAAAAACCTATTCGGGGAGCATCACCCCGTTCAACTGGCTCTTGTCTTGATAAGTAGATTGTTTCCAATGAATAACTTCTGAACCCAAGGGCCCTTGGCCCTCAAACCTCACAGTTGCATTGGTTTTTGCCAGTAAATGACTCCTATTGGTTTTTGAGTCAAGGGGTCAACATTGCATTGAATGTGTAAATCCAAACAGTTTCAGACGCAACAACTTTGCAACCTCACATGTACATTGGTCTTGGTAAGTAGATGACTCCCTATTGATTTAGGTGTCAAGGAGTTAAAGGTCAAGGTAACATTGACCTTTTATATCAAAACAATTTTTAACCAATAACTTGACCACCCATGGGCTCTTTTTCCTCAAACTTAATAGGTGCATTGGTTTTGGCCAGTAGATGAGACCTTTTGATTTTGAGGTCAAGGCCACATTGAACTTGTATATAGAAGCAGTTTCCGACAAATAACTCAGTAGCCCTTAACCTTAAAACTTTACAGGTGCATTGGCCATTGATGAGTCAAGATCATAATCAATTTGGTCGAATTGAAGATCTTGTCCAAAGGATTGTTGTGTCCAAGTTTGAAGATAATTCATCCTTAAAAAACAAAGTTATAGCCAATTCTAGCAAAAATTAAACATTTGACCTTTTAGGTCAAGGTCAATTATTAGTGAAGGTCAAGTGTAGTCTGGTTAAATTGAAGGCTTGTTGTGTCCGAGTATGAAGAAAATTTATTCAGAAATAATATAATAATGGTCAATATTCAAGTTTCTGAACAGCAATGGTAACGACAACCTGCTAAAAATGGTTCTGCTCTGAGGGGTCGCTTTGCTTATTGACTTATATAGTAAACATGTCTTCCAAAACTTCCATGGCCAAAGCTTGGATATTATTGGCATGTAGCATCATCTTGTGGTCTTTGAGTCAAATTGACCATGCCCTCAAGTACTCAAATATTTTAAAAACTCCTTGTATTTTTGGAATGTAACATTGCCTTATAGACCTCTTCCAGTTACATAAATCTGATGATGATGTTTCTGAGTTTAAAAAAAAATGGTTCTACCGGCCCTAGGTTTCACTTTGTTTGCATAGACTTTATAGTTAAACAAGTCACTGGCCCTTGAATTATGTCTCCCAAAATTTTTGGGAGACTATGTTTTTGCCTTCGCCGTCAGTCCGGTTGCACGTCTGTCTGCATTATGCTTGATCGGCCTTCACAGGTCAAACTACTGGTGGGATTTCAACCAAACTTTACAAGAGTGATCAGTACCATCTCTAGTTGTGCACATTTCTGGCATGTTCCCCTTCGCTGCATTAAATGGCCGCCAGAGCTAAAAATCTTGTCTGGCCTCCACAGGTAAAACTATAGGTGGGATTTTAACCAAACTTTACAGGAGTGATCAGTACCATCCCTAGTTGTGCACATCAAGGGCATTGTGCGTTTCACTGCACAAAATGGCCACCAGAGCTAAAAATTAAAAAAATCTTGTCCAGCCTTCACAGGTTAAACTACTGGTGGGATTTCAACCAAACTTTACATGGGGCGTCCATGGCCGAGTGGTTAAGGTTGTTGACTTCAAACCACTTGCCCCTCACCGCTGTGGGTTCGAAACCCAACAGGGACTTTGGATTCTTTCATGTGAGGAAGCTATCCAGCTATCTTACGGAACGTCGATGGTTCTACTCAGGTGCCCGTTCATGGCTGAAAATATGCACGGAGGGGCACCTGAGGTCTTGCTCCACCAGTAAAGCTGGAACGTCGCCAAATGACCTATACTGTGTCGGTGTGACGCTAAACCCAAATCAAACAAACAGAAGTGATCAGTACCATCCCTAGTTATGCACATCACCGGCATGTTATGCTTCGCTGCACATAATGGCAGCCAGAGCAAAAAAAAAGAAAAATCTTGTCTGGATTTCACAGGTCAAACTACTTCTGGATTTCAACCGAGTGATCAGTACAATCCCTAGTTATGCACATCGCCAGCATGTTCCACATCGCTGCACAAAATGGCTGCCAGAGCTAAAAGTAGAAAAATCTTGTCTGGCTTTCACAGGTCAAATTCCTGGTGGGATTTTAACCAAACTTTGCAGGAGTGGTCAGTACCATCCCTAATTGTGCACATCACCAGCATATTCTGCTTAACTGCACAAAGTGGCTGCCAGAGCTAAAAAAATATAAAAATATTGGCCTGCTTTCACAGGTCAAACTACAAGTGTGATTTCAACCAAACTTCACAGGAGTGATCTGTACCATCCTCAGTTGTGCATTTGGCCAGCATATTACGCTTTGGAGCAAAAAATGGCCACCAGAGCTATAAAAAGAAAAATCTTGTCAGGCTTTCACAGATAGAACTGCTGGTTAGATTTCTATGAAACTTCACACAAGTGAACAGTAGCATCCCTAGTTGTGCATATCACAGCATGTTTTGCTTTGCTGCACAAAATAGCGGTCAGAGCTATAAATAGAAAAATCTTGTATGGCTTTCAAAAGTCAAGCTACTGATGGGATTTCAATGAAACTCCACTTGAGTGACCATTCATAGTTTTGGGAGACATACATTTTTGTGGGAAAAAAACCCTTCTAGTTGAGTATATTTTTTTGCTAAATCACTTGCTAGCTGTTCAAAACCATGCCTTTGTTGAATTGAAGCCCCCTTTGGTTCATTACCTAGAAAAAGTAGTGGCCTTTCAATTCCAATGGCTGTAGTCAGCAAATTACCTATATATATTTGGGATCATAAACTATAATAATAAAATTATTTATCTTTTATTTTTTTATTAAGATAATTTAAATATCAATAGAAAATGAAAACAATAATGTTAATTGTTCTGTCCCTAACTTGTTGTATATATAAATACTTGCAGAAAAAAATTACTAATGCATCATTCATTTTAAGATACACAATCATTAAATGTTTAAATTTATAATGTCACCAGCATAATCGGTCCAATTTGCTAGACTGCGCAGTTTGTTCAGACTTTATACTTTTTCTGCTTCAAACTTATCATTTCAATATCAAATTGCTCAAAGTGGCAGTCAGTAGATCCAAACTAAAACCAGGACGAAGTCTAGTCCAGCTTCACTAACGTTAAAAAGCGTAAAATCTTAAAATTAGAAAGTTTTATATAGATCAAGTGAAGCAAATAAAATAGAAAAATCTACAAAAGATCATAAAGAAGTAATACTCAGCATTATAATTGTAAATTGATAATAATTGCAATTTTTAGCCTGATTTGAGTGAAAAGAATTGCAACATTTTTCAATTTTACATCTTTTTGCATGAAAGAAATTATCATTCTTGAAAAACTAGAATGATCTGTAAATTTGCAGTTATTGGTTCAAACCTTCATCCAAATGGTTGAGAAATCTTGGAAAAAATATTTCCAGTCCCATCATTTCAAAAATTGTCCTTTTAAATTAATATAGTACTAAATAGTACTTATTGTAGAATTGATGTTACAGTAGAAGAAAAACAACTTTAAACGCATTTTAAGAAAATTAAACCAGATTTGTTTCCCTTTCATATAATTATAGAAACATATATAGATACATGCCTTGCCATATGTTATGAGTTATTAACCTTTTCCCTTATATAAGTGTGTTTCGACGGCTTTTTGCACCCCCCTTTTTGAGGCCTCAAACAGTGAAAAAATGCCCTATTTAGGCCCCAAACACTGTTTTTTGTTTGAGAAATGTTGTTAAAAAAAGTGACCATTTTTTCGGCGCCGTCCCCCATCCAAATATTACATCAGGGGGTTGCCAGAAGGGGGATGTGCCCCCTTCTGTTTGGGGGGTTTGAAGGGGGGCAGAGTCCCCCTCTTCGCCAATAAAATTTTGGACTTGTGAGAGGCTTAAAATGACCCCAGGTCGATCATAAGGTAACGTGTAACCAATGCTGAAAAGCCTTTGACTCTATCTCAATCCCTTGAGAAGTTGCAGCACTTTGAAATAAATTTTGATGGAAAAAATCGAGAAAAAAAGTGATTTTTGGCAATTTTGAGATGTCCCCTCGTTGCCATGGTAACAGGAAATTTAACACTGAGCATGTCGTTACAAAGGCAATTGTCCAGTCAACATTTGTGCCAAGTTTGATTAGTATTGAAGCATTTTTCATAGTTTCATAGCAGTTTGAACTTGTAACAGGAGGCTTTTCAGTGAAAATGGCCATTTTTCACAATATGCTCATGGGGGAAAGGATTAAGTTAAAATTAATGTGCATCATAGCGATATTATACTAGAAGTACATTCTATAACTAACAATGGTAACAAATGAAAACATGTTGAATTGTTTAACTTCATACAAATAAAACATTACAGACTAGAATACAAAGAACAGGCGACTGACTGACTCTTCAAACACAAGTAGATAAATAAAATATTAACTGAAGGATTAACTGGTTTGTGGACCTCAACTGTTGGAAATTATCAAAATCAAGTATACATGTATTTGTAAACAACTAGTAACAAAAAATACTTTAATGTAGCATGTCTCCAGATGAACCAAAATATTTCAATAAAATATACTTGAGAAAAAAGTACTGAGGTTTAAAATTAAAAAAGTTCAAGATAAAAGTACTAATTTCCATGTTATGTGTGATTTATGACGGATTTTGCAGTATTTTTCACCAAATATAATTATTTTGTTACTATTGCAGTAAGGGCTATTAAAGTATTTTTGCATATGTTGACCTCTTTTTTGGTAATTTACATAGGTTGTATGTGTAAATTATTTTCTTTGTTCATCTTACAATATGTTACTTTTTACTACATTTTCAAAATTTTCAAGAAAAATAGCATGAATCTGGAGGTGAGCTGCTTTAATTGGTTACATTATAGCATTATAATTGTATACCTAGCTATCAGTGCTTACCTAAAATAATAGACATGTAACAAACAATATGCCGATCAGCTAAAAAAGTAACTGTCTTTGTTCTGTTTGTAAGGAACTTCCTGGCCAATTAATGTCTAAGTAAAATTAAAAGATGGAAGATTTAGACACTTGGCCAAATGAGATCAAAATATTGACACAATGTGGGATTATATATGTAAACAACAATCTTATACTAACAACAAAAACATATATAAACATTTCCACTATCCCAGATACAAACTAATTGTTCCCTCTTTCCATCTTTTTCACTTTCCTTTTACTTAGGTCTCACATACCCAAAACATTCAAGCAAATTTATGTTTGACCATTCATAAAGACATCTGATAAAAGTATACTGACATAATGAAACCTGTATGTAAACAATCTTGTGATATAGGAAAAAAAATCTACACTATTATTCTAAAAAAAATAATTTGTACACCAATCATTAAAACTATTATTTAAAAAAAGTTTTGTGAAAGTGACAAGTTTTCTAAAGTGGTGGTTGTCTTTATAAAAGGTTGGGGCTGAATATTTAACAATATCAAAAACATGTCAGACTGATAAAATTGCAGAAAAACAGTCTAACCAGCCTCTTTATAAAGACCACTTTTAAGGAAATTATTTTCCTATGTACATCTCTACTCATTCAAATTTACTAATAACTTAATTAAGACACCTGGTATTAGAAATCACTTATTACAAGATCGTTTTTTTCACACAGTAGATCATCATTACTCACAGGTTTTGTCAGATTGTAAATAAACATAAATAACTATTACAAAATTAGTTCCTATTCTACACTTGAATACTGAATAAAAAGGCAGCAACACTTTTCATTATCACATAATTTTTGTGGATTTCTGTTTCTCACGACCATCAGTTCTTTCTCCTTCAGTATTTCAGTATAAAACCGTAACCATAGTTACGAGCAAGCCTTCATTTTAATGCTCTTTCGCTCACACTCCTGTCCACCTTGTATTACTTGTCTACGTTTCTTCTGTACACCATTCATACAGGAGTCATACTCTGACCATGGTCCAAAAAAGCATCGTACTGTAAAATATAACATACCTGTTAAAACGTTTGACTACAAGCAGTTACAATTGCAGACTACCACCTGTATTTCAATCAAAATGTAAAGAAACCTCCAAGGAAACTAATTCATGAATATTTAAAATCAAGATGGAAAAGTATCACAAGAAAAACCATGCATTTGCATATGAGAATTCTAAGATATATATTGTAGCTCACAAAATTTATAGTCAGAAAAGCTTTCTGTATGAATGTTTTTTAAGTGCAAAAGCTCTAAAATTATACAAAAGAAAGTTAAGATTATGGAACACTATACTACAACACAATGAGATCTTTCCAGCTATAAATCTTTCTATGTTGATACATGTACCTCCTATAGTTTTCAAGTTATACCCCTGACAATAAAGTTTCAAGTTTTGCCCCTGACAATAAAGTTTCAAGTTAAGCCCCTGACAATAAAGTTTCAAGTTTTGCTCCTGACAATAAAGTTTCAAGTTATGCCCCTGACAATAAAGTTTCAAGTAATGCCCCTGACAATAAAGTTTCAAGTTATGCCCCTGACAATAAAGTTTCAAGTTAAGCCCCCAGACAATAATGTTTCTAGTTTTGCCCCTGACGTAAATGTTTCAAGTTATGCCCCTGACAATGAAATTTCAAGTAATGCCTCTTACAATTAAGTTTCAAGTTTTGCCCCAGACAATAAAGTTCCAGGTTAAGCCCCTGACAATAAAACATTAATGTTGACTCCAGTATTTGCTGTGCAGGGGATGTAACTTTAATTGATTTATTGTTATGTTGTTGTTTGTTTTGTTTCATTTACTCCCTTTACTTTATTTTAAGAGGTAAGTCTGAATAAACAAGACTGTATTCTTGTCTGACAATGTTCCTTCAGTCTCTAGGGCTTTAATTATCTTAAAAGACAAAGAACATTACACTACAAAACATATTCTCCAGTACAAGTAACAGTATTATTTTAAACTTTGTAAACAAAATCATTTATTAGAACTACAACCTTGAAATGTCACTTCTGAAAGAGCTTGCCATTCTAAACAAACAAATTACAATATCATTTCTATACACACAAGCATATCACACTTCTTTGGTTTCATTGATTTCATTTCATTTACGCTTCTGAAATATCAATGATGAATGACAAATTCAGAGGAAATATTTTCTAAATTTTATACAATAAAATATGTAAGCCTTCACATAAATAGGAACACATGTCGTTTGAATACAGAGAATCTTGTATAATTACATACAAAACCAGATAGTACTGGATGTTACATGATTGAGTTGCCGTATGATATGAAGTTTAATTAAACAAGTTCAAGACATTGTTGTAAAGTATACCCACAACATTTCCTTGGACACGTTTACTTAAATTCTATATTATATACCGGTTACAACAAATGTAAGATTCTTTTTATCTTATGACTAAACACATTGAAATTAATGAAATGTTTTATGAGCTCCAATGTTATATAACACAGGTGTAATATAATTATATACAGAAACACGTAATGTTTACAATACATGGAAAACAAGGGTAGTCATAAGATAAAATTGAATACTACATTGACAATCATTGCTCTTGTAACAAGAGGAAACTGTCATACTACTGGACTTGATATAGTATATTAACCCATTACCATCTAAGGACTGAAAGTGATAATCTTTTGACCCAATTATAATGAGCCAGGCCAGCCTGCACTTCAGGCAGTATAACTAGGCACCTAGTATATTAAGCTTACTGTTTGTAAATCAGGTGTTTTATATGTATACCCCCGAAACGAAGTTTGGAGGGGTATAAAGGAGTCACCTGATGGTCAGTCGGTAAAGGAGTCACCCGATGGTCGGTCCAGTGTTCCGTTGCATTTTCCTTGTCCAGAGCATAACTTGAATACTAATGATTGGAATACAATACAACTTCATACAATGGTCAAGCGCATTGAGAGGAAGTGCAGTGCACAAGAATCATAACTCCATCTTCACTAATAACAGAGTTATTGCCATTTGTTACTTTTCCTCGTTCGAAGCATAACTTGAAAAGTACTGGTTGGAATTCAAAACAATGTCAGTCAATGGTCAAGCACAACAAGGGGAAATGCAGTGCACAAGAACCATAACTCTATCTAAAGTAATTACAGAGTTATTGCCCTTTGTTACTTTTCCATTGCTTTTTTTGTCCGGACCATAACTTGAAGACTAATGGTTGGAATTCAATATAACTTGATACAATGGTCAAGCATATTGAGAGGAAGTGCAGTGCACAAGAACCATAACTCCATCTTCACTAATTACAGAGTAATTGCCATTTGCTACTTTTCCTTGTCCGGAGCATAACTTGAAAACTACTGGTTGGAATTCAAAACAATTTCATACAATGGTCAGGCACAATAAGAAGAAGTGCAGTGAACAAGAACTATAACTCTATCTAAAGTAATTACAGAGTTATTGCCCATTGTTACTTTCCATTGCTTTTTTTGTCCGGACCATAACTTGAAGGCTAATGGTTGGAATTCAATATAACTTCATACAATGGTCAAGCACTATGAGAGGAAGTGCAGTGCAAACGAATCATAACTCCATTTTGACAAATTACAGAGTTATTGCCCTTTGACCCTTTTCCTTGTCCGGAGCATAACTTGAAAAGTACTGGTTGAAATTCAAAACACCTTCATAATATGGTCAAGCACAATAAGAGGAAGTGCAGTGCACAAGAACCGTAACTCTGCCCAGAGTAATTATAGAGTTATTGCCCTTTGTTACTTTTCCATTGTTTTTTTTTGTCCAGAGCATAACTTGAAAACTACTTGTTAGATATTGAAATCCCTTCAACTTGCAATAAAATTAATCTAAATCAAAATCTGGCAAATCAATAGATTAAGGGTTAAAGGTAATAATTTATCAACTCTCTATTATAATCACCTTCGCCATTCTTTTTAGTACAAGATTTTGTTGTAACTTTTTCTTGTTCACAAGTTGGTCCACCAGAGATAAGTTTTTGTGTCCGTGTACGTGTGGGATTATCAGATGTATCACATTGTGTCCATTCACCTCGGTCATATACACACTCTGAAAATACCAAGTTTACAATATAACATTATATCATAGAATATAAATTATTAAACACTGAGCATCATGTATTATTTATCATGAACTTTTAATAAAATCTTTTTTTGTAAATTATTGATTGTTGAAGTATCGTAGATATGTCAATACTTAAACAATAAAAAAATTAATTATCATTTATATTTATTCACTTCTATTATTGATAAATGATAATTATATACCAAAAATAAATGTTATAGCTTATACATAGAACATTCATGAATGTCAGGTATATAAACAGTGTGTAATGATTCTATAAATATTAACTCAACATGAATATTAACACATTATTTGAGTATTAAAACAAATCGGAACAAATTTTAGTCAATTAAGAATAAAACGCAGCAACTGATGTTACCAATGTAAACAGTTCAGACCAAGCTTTGTAATATGTATATCATCTGACCATTATATGCAATGTTCGCTTTTTAGTCAGTACATATCTTGAAATTTTTCCCTAAAAAATGATAAATTGATTGTCCATATTGAAAGATGGATGAAACCATTTAAGATATTAAGCAATTTAGATATTCAAAACTTAAACTGAAAAATATGTTTTTAAAAAAAGAACTCAAGAATGTGTTCCTTTGATTTTGCTTTCTAAGGTAATACTACGATCATCAGTTTATATTTATATATTTAGCAAATTAAATACTTTTATCTTTTCCATTTCCACATTTTTTTGTCAGCACCCTAGTTTGTGGACAAGAAGACTGTGCCGCTTTCTTCAATGTATCTATTCTGGTCATCTGATTGGTCTCTGTATTACATTCTGACCAATCACCTGTCTCAAATTTACATGCTGAAAATACAAAGGTCACTGTAAGAATTTGTAAAACCCTGAATCATACTCCAAAAATTGTACAACAATAAGAAAAACAATTGTTACCCATGTTTGAAAATGATTTTGGAATATGAAAATATATGTAAATTTTGTACTAAGTAATTATACTTGACAAAACTTGTAACTCACTTCTTTAATAACTTCAATAATTCTTCTCCAATAATGACTCAATACAAATGAAAATTTTAGAAAATGTTACATATTATACAAAGTAATTAATTTCATTTTTAACAACAAAATGCATTTACTAATTACAAGGCCGAGTACCCACTGGCTGTTTTATGCTTGAGCGAATTCACAATTTGCACACGCAAATCATTGAAGTAAAATTGGTCAATCAGTTTTTATTGACAACAACTTTCTACATTGGTAATAAAATTGAGAATCGTAAAGTTCCTAGCTGTGCTACAGATATGAACAGAAAACTGCGCACAGGCAATTTATTTGATCTGACCTTGAATTACACTGTATTTACAGTAGATTGAGCTCTTCATTGAGACGTTTCTGATTTAAAAAACTTGTGAATAAAATTGCAGCATGTATTCATTTAAATATCTCAATCCAGTCTACCTGATATTATATCTTATTTGTCCCATAATTATCATACAAAATCAGGAATTCTTTATTCAAAAGGATAACAACAAAATAATAAGTCTTTAATCATGTTTTTGCAAAGAAATTGTTCTTATTAACAAATGGAAGTTTTTTTTACAAGTTCTAAAATTTGAAACATGCAGAAACTCACATTTTAACAAAGTCAATAGATGTTTGTGCTGGGTTATGACAAACATAAAATGTGACTATCAAAATCCCATCAATTAAAGGGAATACCATTAAATATTGTGACATATTAAGTTTTTGTTTCCCAATGGAACTTATCACCTTCGGGTTGGGATTTCTCTATCCTCTATCTAATCCAATGATAGATTCTATTATTCATGTATTCATTTAAACAAATCAAATCATGAAGACACTTACGTTTTTTACATTTTTTTGAGTATTCTTTAACCTGTTGACAAGATGCTGGTCCACTCTTTAGAACTTGTTGTCTAGTCATCGTATTAGTTGTAATATTACATTCTGACCACGGTTCATACTTGTACTTACATACTGAAATAGAGTACACATAACTAGATATAACTGGCTGACCATGGTTCATACTTGTACTTACAAACTGAAATAGAGTACACATAACTAGATATAACTGGCTGACCATGGTTCATACTTGTACTTACATACTGAAATAGAGTACACATAACTAGATGTAGATATAACTGGCTGACCATGGTTCATACTTGTACTTACAAACTGAAATAGAGTGCACATAACTAGATATAACTGGCTGACCATAGTTCATACTTGTACTTACAAACTGAAATAGAGTACACATAACTAGATATAACTGGCTGACCATAGTTCATACTTGTACTTTCAAACTGAAATAGAGTACACATAACTAGATATAACTGGCTGACCATGGTTCATACTTGTACTTACAAACTGAAATAGAGTACACATAACTAGATATAACTGACTCACCATGGTTCATACTTGTACTTACATACTGAAATACTGAAATAGAGTACACATAACTAGATATAACTGGCTGACCATGGTTCATACTTGTACTTACATACTGAAATAGAGTACACATAACTAGATATAACTGGCTGACCATAGTTCATACTTGTACTTACATACTGAAAAAGAGTACACATAACTAGATATAACTGGCTGACCATAGTTCATACTTGTACTTACATACTGAAATAGAGTACACATAACTAGATATAACTGGCTGACCATGGTTCATACTTGTACTTACATACTGAAATAGAGTACACATAACTAGATATAACTGGCTGACCATGGTTCATACTTGTACTTACATACTGAAATAGAGTACACATAACTAGATAAACTGGCTCACCATGGTTCATACTTGTACTTACATACTGAAATAGAGTACACATAACTAGATATAACTGGCTCACCATGGTTCATACTTGTACTTACATACTGAAATAGAGTACACATAACTAGATGTAGATATAACTGGCTGACCATAGTTCATACTTGTACTTACATACTGAAATAGAGTACACATAACTAGATGTAGATATAACTGGCTGACCATAGTTCATACTTGTACTTACATACTGAAATAGAGTACACATAACTAGATGTAGATATAACTGGCTGACCATAGTTCATACTTGTACTTACATACTGAAATAGAGTACACATAACTAGATATAAGTGACTGACCATAGTTCATACTTGTACTTACATACTGAAAAAGAGTACACATAACTAGATATAACTGGCTGACCATAGTTCATACTTGTACTTACATACTGAAATAGAGTACACATAACTAGATATAACTGGCTGACCATAGTTCATACTTGTACTTTCAAACTGAAATAGAGTACACATAACTAGATATAACTGACTGACCATAGTTCATACTTGTACTTACATACTGAAATAGAGTACACATAACTAGATATAACTGGCTGACCATAGTTCATACTTGTACTTATATACTGAAATAGAGTACACATAACTAGATATAACTGGCTGACCATAGTTCATACTTGTACTTACATACTGAAATAGAGTACACATAACTAGATATAACTGGCTGACCATAGTTCATACTTGTACTTACAAACTGAAATAGAGAACACATAACTAGATATAACTGGCTGACCATAGTTCATACTTGTACTTACATACTGAAATAGAGTACACATAACTAGATGTAGATATAACTGGCTGACCATAGTTCATACTTGTACTTACATACTGAAATAGAGTACACATAACTAGATATAACTGGCTGACCATGGTTCATACTTGTACTTACATACTGAAATAGAGTACACATAACTAGATATAAGTGACTGACCATAGTTCATACTTGTACTTACATACTGAAATAGAGTACACATAACTAGATATAACTGGCTGACCATGGTTCATACTTGTACTTATATACTGAAATAGAGTACATGTAAATAAAATAAAGGAATCATTGAATACAAATCCTTTGATTTATTTAGATCTAAAGACTTGGAACTTAACTAAAAAGACTACTCTAAAATCCCAAGATGTACAATTTTATGCAACTGCTTTGTTAAAATAACCCTTAAAATGTACTTTACATGTACTGCCTTTGATCTGATAAAATGCACTCATGCAAAGTGAACTGAATTATGATATAATGCAAAATAAAGAATATTTCTACTATTAGATATAATGTTAAGTGGACAATATATCTGATATAATGCATTATTGATGGTATATCTGATATGATGTAATGCAAAGAGGACAGTATACTAGCAATTATATAATCATTTCATCCTTAATTCTAAACAAGCTGCACAAAAAAGTTATGATGTTGTGTTTAATATCATGAATTTGTCCAGAAGTTTCATCCTAATATGAACAGTAGAATCTATATATACAATATATGCCAAACAAGACATACATAGATTTGATAAAATTAATATTTCTGATTAGATGCAACCAATTATTGTTATTAGGCACTTGTAGTCATGAGGTATTAATGTCAGCAGTTCCCTTGAAACATATCATAAAATGTTGATATAAAAGTCAATTTCTACATTGTCTCATGGGTAAAATTAGATGCAAATGTTCAATCTAGATATTTTATGCTGTATTATTCTACATCCTTGTCATTCACAATAGATTGATTGACAATCTATGTATAATTTTCTGTATCTATAAAATATGACATATGACACATCAAACATGTTTTTATGCATACCTTCTATTGTACCGAAATGATATTAACAAAATGTTTCAAAACTTTATCAATTTAAGTAAGTTACATTATTGTAAATCACCACAAATATATGTTGTAATATAGCTATATATTTCTTGTAAAAGAGATTTTAGACATGAATGCATAACTTATTTCCGACATCTTTGCACCATGTATGTCTAAGTACAATGTATTCCTGATACCTACATGTACCAATGCAAAATGTTTTTCAGACACCTATTTACTGTAAAATATATACTTCAGACACCTATAAACAATGTACCAGTATTTCAAACGCTTGCACAATTCATTATGTACAATGTATTTCAGTCAGCTAGGCACAATGTATTTCAGACACTCCATTTCAACTAAATAAAGTTAAATTCAATACAGAGCTCCTGTTCTAGAGAGTATACAAATACAATGAGACCTAAAATGTAAGACACACTTTATCCTCAACTGTATTGATGTTAAATCCATTAATGTCAGACTTTAGAGAAATATAATAGAACCATGACATTGTAATGGGATAGTAGGGCCCCATTATGTAAATTGCTGAACTCTTTATATCATGTGCAGGGATTATTCTGGTCAGGATTTTTAGTGAGAGATTTTCTCTCATTTGAGAAATTTTAATGAGAGAAATTAGATTTTCTTGAGAGATTTAATTTTCATGATGGGCGAGGTTAAAAATATTGAAATTTCTAACTTTTTAAAAATCACTGTACATATAAACATTGTTTATCTAATGAGGATATAAGAAGATGTAGCTCTGTTTATTACAGTGATTTTTGTTTTCACTTTTTTAACACATCCTATGCCTTTTCTTTTGTGATTTTTTAAACATAATAAAATTCTAATTGTGAAAATAAATATAACACCTTTATTCTGAAATATAAAAGAATTATACATGGATATCTACTACAACTATTATTTGCAGCCAATGTTCCTAATGGACAACACTGTACTGTACATAAGTGATTGTTGAGATTTGAAGAATATTTATATAACCTTTCATTTTTTTTTCTTTATGATTCTCTTCACACACCTCCCTCCATTAAAAAATATCCATTGAATATGTGACCTGAACACATAATGACAAATATCTCCATATCCAAAAATATAAACAATAACTAAAGTAATTTTTATTCATAAACATCATTTATAGTGTTATAAATCACCTTTGAATAACACTCGGCTTCCTTTTAGAATTTTTTTTAATCACGACATCGCGAAAATATGTGACAAATGAATATTTGTCTGTTTTCCGCTGAAACATTCACAATTCTAGCTGTTGCTGATTGCAAATTATATAAAATTAAATATTTTGTTCAATAAAAGAACATTTATTATCGGCTATTTCATCAGGAATCGTAAAACAAAATTTTTAAATTTGTTCTTTAAGGCAAAATTACCCGTGGTTGATGTGACATTAGAAGACAAATTTTACTGGTAGATTTATTTTTGACATGTCCATTTTTATGTTAGTCTGTGTCTAACAATTTTTATTAAAATCAATTAAAAGTGTTTTGTGTAAATTCTCGACTTAAAGATAGATAAAGGTTAGCCATCATACCGTATTTCTGTACGGTGAATTAGCGATTCTCCGATCGGCAATTATTTTAGGTTAAATAATTCAAAGTGTTGGACTACTTTTTGGAGTTTTTTACACCGATTTCATTAATAAACAATTTTAAATTAAATTCTTGATGGGAATCGTGATTTTTCATCATATTTTTTGTGTAATTTCAGCATTCCTTAGATTGTGTATAGACATTTTCCGGCTCAAATTGCCGTGCGAGATTTTCTCTCATTTCACAAATTTCTCTGAGATTTTGGTGATTTTTTGCGAGAAATCGCGGAAATCGCCCCCCTAGAATGATCCCTGCATGTGACAGACATATATGTTGAGTTTCTCAAACAATCAAGACATCAATAAATTCTGCAGATCCAAGTTTTACTTTCTAGAGCAAGCATGATGTTGTCCATATAGGTAAACTGGCAAAACAATCTTGCCCATTAAAAATTGACTTCATTAATATATTAAGTTAATTTGTTAAAAAATACTTCTAACAAAGATCAACAATTTGTTAAACTTACACAGATAACAGTATTTTGATACTTCTTCTTATGCCTTTCTGGAAAATGCGGTTTGATTGTATGGCTAAATAGCTTTCTCGGGTAGTCAGAATAATAAAGAAGGAGAAACATATACGATCATCATCAAATCTACAGTGAAGAAATAAGTAGATCTAAACTTTAGTCAGATTGGTTTCACCTCTTTACATCAGCAATGACACTCTTCATGTGTTAACCAATAATAGTAATAGTAATATATTAACACAGTAGGGCAATCAGAATAGCAGAACTCAATACCTTATAGAAACCTCCAATAACGTCAAATATTTTCAAATAATAATCTCTAAAAAGTGAATACAAATGAGTAAAGACCAACAGACATAACCTAAGATGTAAGAGACACATAAACTTGAACTGAATTGACATTTCAATCTATAAACATTACCTTGTAGAGTAATTTATCTTAAACAATGATTGTGAAGGGACAATATGGCAACTTTATGTGAATTGCTGAACTCTGTCCGACAGATATCAAATGTAAAATTTCTCAATCATGACATTAATATATTCAGCTGATGTTAGTGTTCCTGTGGTTCTATGCTAAATTTGTTTATTGAACTTGCTTAGATGTCCTTTGATATTTTAAGGGATTTCAATATCATATCATTGAAATTTTAAGTGTTATTATACTGGACAGAGCTTCCATAGAAGCAATAGGTCCATTGCTGGGTCCATGAAGCATTTGTTGCAGAAGCAGTGGATAAATATACTTCTAGTTCATCTTTCATGGTAATAGATAACTTTGATATCAAGTTTTACTTTTTGTTTTAATGGAATCACAAAGTGAGACTGAAGCCCATATACATACTCTTTCACCTCCATACACATACACAGCACAATTCTTTGCCATTTAATGTAAAAACTTCTGTAAAGATTACAGAGGGAACGCCACTTTTACCAAATTTTGGTCAACACATGAACAATTTTTTACAAAACGGCCCCAGTGTCAGCATCACATCATATGTATGATACTTTCACCAACCAACCATATTGTTGTTATTTCAGGTATTGTTATTGCATTGTATAATTGATATTATATTTATGGTTGGTCTGACTCTATAGATGGTTTAGGTCAAACTGCATGTGTGATGTGGTGTGGTGTCGTTGGTAGTTTTCACTCCGGATCATAGCAGTAAGCCACACTGAATTTATCAGAGCACAGTTCAGCCACCGCATCCTTCCTTGGCAGACTGTCAAGCAGTTTACCAGTACTAGTTGCCTTTATTTTCACAAGGAACTGATAACCTCTGTACATGCCAGAGCAGAGTTACAGTGCAAATGACTGTAGAAAGGATTTCTTGATCAATCACAACAAAAATGACCTGTACTGTCCAGGATCGAACCCGGGTCCCCTGATTCACAGTCCGACGCTCTATCTATTGAGCTAACCAGATGACCTATAGACTGCATGTGTGTGTTGGTTTGCCAGACTTTATACTGGTGGTATAGACCTTACTTTAGTGTTGGTAATATACAGAGATTTATACACATGTAACAAATCCAGATTTGTCTTGTCTACACCAGAATGCTATATATGATTGTACTTTGTCAGCTCTTAAACCACTTAACAAAAGTGTATTATTGACATACTAAGTATCAAGGGCATTTTATTGAGTCACTGTGTTCTAATTTTCAATGTTTCTATTCATGTCTGAAACAACAATTGTTCATAAATAGAAGGCTTCTAAAACATTTCTATAAATCTCAATTCCTGTGTCACTAAGATTTAGAAACTCCATTTTGAAGTATTATTGCATGCCATTTAGACTTGTATTTAACCTTCCACTTTTATTGAAAAAAAATCTATTGCTTTTGAATTTTTAACTGATCAATACAGAATGAATGATTTTCTTTTCTTTCTATTTCAGTTTAATGTGGGCAGATTATAATTAAGGGATAAAGTCTACAATTGAGTATTAACCTTTACTTTGCTGACTTAGTGTAACAGATGTCCCCTGCTTTTCCTATCCTGTGGTTATTTAAAAAGTTTTACTAAAATTGAGCAGCCATCAAATCAGACATGTTTAACTCTCACCTTGCTGAATTTGTATAATGGATTTGCCCTTATTTGATTTTGGAGCAGTCTATTAATTTTAAAGTTTAAGGGATATCAATATAAAATACATGAATTGAGAAAAACAGTATAGCCTGGTCAGAGTGAATGGATGACAAATAAATTGTCCTAGCTCTACACTGAGGCAACATGGTTGATTGGTGAGCACATCACACTAGTATTATCTCAGTATCTCTAGCAGTATGGGTTTAAACCCCGTAAGGAGCAAGCAGCTGTATCCTTGAGCAAGAAACTTTACACTCATTGCACAGCACTAGTTGATTCCAGGAACAGTTTCATGAGTATGTTTATAATTTTATAACTTCCTTCACAAATCAAACTAAAATACTTTGTAAATTATTTATAAACTAATCATGTTTAGCAGGTCATTGTTTAAATCGGCTGAGATTATTGTAAGTAAACATTTCAATGTGAATCTTTTTTCTTAGCTGCACACAGTTTAGACTTTGTGCTATAATATTATGAGAGATTGTACTTTTTATTATCTTGCATGCATAGACTAAATCAATCTCACTCAGCAATTTTTACCTGTTTTATTCTTGTTTTCATTCCTCTCAAGGGATCTCCTATTATACCAAAATGTTTATAAAATCTGAATTTCTATATCACAATGATCTGGAATATCCTCTCTTTCTGGAGAATTACTGAGAGATTTAAAGGTTTCAACAGTTGTAATTTGCCACTTTCAATATCACGAGAACTCTTCATGTGTCAACAAATAACAATCATTTTCTCATAATTTTCAGGAAACATTATTATGACTGAGCAATGAATAAAAAAAATGTTCTTTTTTTCTGTTTTCTCTATCCTGCTTCAGTTCTAAAAGGGAATAGATTAAAGTTTGACTATTTATAATTCTTAACAACAAAGTAAACAATCACAGCATTTTAAATTCGGGCCAACGCTTTTAAATGTGGAGAAAGTAGTCAATTAGTTGTACAATTTTTATGATCAATAATTAAAACCTACAATGCTAACACCACAAGTAATTGACCTTTGCCAGACCAGCCTGTATAGTCTGATTTGGTTGAAAAGTGCTGCAATGTTTTTTAACTTTGTTTTACTTTTTACCATTAGAATAATTATTCTGGAAAAACACATTGTATTGAGCAAATGATCTGAAATTTCGCACACAAGTTATTACTCTAGACCTACATCAAATAGAAAAACTATTTCTATTAACGCTATGTCAAAATACCTCAGTGGAGTCCATTTCATCATCGGATACCCATGGCCGAACCATTAACATTCATCATTTTGATTGCATGTTATGTGACATGTTTATCAATCGTGGGTATCCGACGATGAGTCCATTTAAGAGACTAACAAAATATACCAGGATACATTATTGTATAGAATTATAAGTTGCTTTAGTACCATATTGGTAATATCCATGATAAGTTGTAAGTGCTACACTCCTCAGTAAGCCAGGGGTACTTGCTATGTATAAACATAATATAGTAAGGGGGATCAGTTCCTATGGGTTCCTATGATGAAGGTGAACAAACACTGCATGATTATAAACAAGTAACAGACTGATTAAACAAGTAACAGACCGACAAATTACATGATCAAACAAGTAACAGGCTGACAAACAAGTATTAAACAAGTAGCAGGCTGACAAACAAGTATTAAACAAACTGCCAATCACATGATTAAACAAGTAACAGACTGACAAATCACATGATTAAACAAGTAACAGACTGACAAATCACATGATCAAACAAGTAACAGACTGACAAATCACATGATTAAACAAGTAACAGGCTGACAAATTACATGATAAAACAAGCGACAGTTTGACAAATTACATGATCAAACAAACCATTTATTACATAAAAATATCAAATAACTGTGAATAGAATTGTTCACCATCAACTCATTCCTGCAATATAATACTGCAGCCTAATGTGATTGTATCATTCAACTGTTTGTTTTGTTAGGATATTTTTCATTTTTATTCTGAATGAACGTTGTTAACTTCTAAACTACAGAAGATTGGCAAGTAGATATTTAGGGTATTATCGGATATTCCAAAAACAAAAAGCATTGTATATGTGACCTTCTCATCTTATTTAGTAATACATACAAAGTATTGTAATACTTCATATTTGTAACAACAATTTTATTGGATGATCATGATGTTAAAATTATTCATATACACTGCTGCCACAAATTAATCTATTTTTTTTTCTGTTTATACAGAAATTATCAAATTATTTATTAAATCAAAGAAAGCAACTTTGCAGTATAATAAGTTCATTACAAAGACTTTTTGACAGGTTCCGTGGTTGTGTAACAATATGGTAAATGGTTTACCATATAACCTCCACCTACATGTAGCACCTTGGGATATATATGATTACAGTTGTTTACATTGTGCACTATCATCTGTTCAAAATATACATATATATATGTACATAACTAATATTAGTAAACAGTCCAATTCAATCAATTATTGTAGACAGGATGACTATACAATGTTAATATTTGCCAGAAGTTGATACAGTTGTATTGTTTTCACCTAAAATTCTTCATTTTCATTTAAGAAACACTATCCCAGTGCTGTAATTGCTTTTTTTAAGTTTGATAACGAAATATACAGATTTCAAGATATAAGTCAGTGTTTGTTTTCTAAGCTCCTAATGAAAACAGACATAAAAACATGGTATGAGTACTATGAAAGTTTTTTTTTACTTCCTTCAAAGCAAGGAAGGTCTCAAATAGTCATTTTAAAATTTTACCATTAGTTTTCTTTTTCCCTTTACATTTTCTCTCGACAGTCTGTGTAGGTTCACATTGCGCAGGATCTCCACGTTTTAAAGTTTTTATCATTACACGCATGTTTGATGTGGCGTCACATTCCTCCCAACTTGTACGTCTATACTTACATACTGAAATAATTTTAAACAATAAAGGATATTAAATGAGTGTAGATTCAATACTAAATTTATTAAACAAGTTGAACTAGAACTATCACTAAATGTGATTAATACCCCCACAAGTCTGCTTCGGAAATGAGGATGTTACTAGTAACAGAATACCTTGTAATAGAATTGAAACATAGAGTTATGGTTGTGGGCAATTAAAGATAATTGTGGTTCATGTATGTTGCATTTCCTTTCAATGGTTGGCCATTGATGAAGTTTAATTGAATTACTCTGTAATAAGTCCAGAAAGACAAAGAAAAAGAACAAAGGGCAATAACTCTATAAATACTGAAGATAGAGTTATAGTTATTGTGCACTGCACTTCCTCTTATTGTGCTTGACCATTGTATGAAGTTGTTTTGAATTCCAACCAGTACGTTTTAAGTTATGCTCCGGACAAGGAAAAGTATCAAAGGGCAGTAACTCTGTATTTTGTCAAAATTGAGTTATGACTCTTGTGCACTGCACTTCCTTTTAATGTCCTCGACAACTGTATGAAGTTGTACTGAATTCCAAACAGTAGTTTTCAAGTTATGCTCTGGACAAGGAAAAGTAACAAAGGGCAATAACTCTGTAATTAGTCAAAATGGAGTTATGATTCTTGTGCACTGCACTTCCCCTTATTGTGCTTGACCATTGTATGAAGTTGTTTTGAATTCCAACCAGTAGTTTTCAAGTCATGCTCTGGACAAGGAAAAGTAACAAAGGGCAGTAACTCTGTAATTAGTCAAGATGGAGTTATGGTTCTTATGCACTGCACTTCCTCTCAATGTGCTTGACCATTGTATGAAGTTATAATGAATTCCAACAATAACTCTTCAAGTTATGGTCCGGACAAAAGAAAGCAATGGAAAAGTAACAAAGGGCAATAACTCTGTAATTAGTCAAGATGGAGTTATGGTTCTTGTGCACTGCACTTCCCTTTATTGTGCTTGGCCATTGTATGAAGTTGTTTTGAATTCCAACCAGTAGTTTTAAAGTCATGCTCTGGACAAGGAAAAGAAACAAAGGGCAGTAACTCTGTAATAAGTCAAAATGGAGTTATGGTTCTTGTGCACTGCACTTCCTCTCAATGTGCTGGACCATTGTATGAAGTTATAATGAATTGCAACAATTAGTCTTCAGTTATGGTCCGGACAAAAGAAAGCAATGGAAAAGTAATAAAGGGCAATAACTCTGTAATTACTTTAGATAGAGTTATGGTTCTTATGCACTGCACTTCCTCTCAATGTGCTTGACCATTGTATGTAGTTATATTGAATTCCAACCATTAGTCTTCAAGTTATGGTCCAGACAAAAAAAGAAGGCAATGGAAAAGCAACAAAGGGCAATAACTCTGTAATTACTTTAGATAGAGTTATGGTTCTTGTGCAATGCACTTCCCCTTATTGTGTTTGACAATTGTATGAAGTTGTTTTGAATTCCAACCAGTAGTTTTCAAGTTATGCCACGGACAAGGAAAAGTAACAAAGGGCAATAACTCTGTAATTAGTCAAGATAGAGTTATGTTTCTTATGCACTGCACTTCCTCTCAATGTGCTTGACCATTGTATGTAGTTATATTGAATTCCAACCATTAGTCTTCAAGTTATGCTCCAGACAAGGAAAATGCAACGGACAAAAAAAAAAGCAATGAAAAAGCAACAAAGGGCAATAACTCTGTAATTACTTTAGATAGAGTTATGGTTCTTGTGCACTGCACTTCCCCTTATTGTGTTTGACAATTGTATGAAGTTGTTTTGAATTCCAACCAGTAGTTTTCAAGTTATGCCCCGGACAAGGAAAAGTAACAAAGGGCAATAACTCTGTAATTAGTCAAGATAGAGTTATGGTTCTTGTGCACTGCACTTCCTCTCAATGTGCTTGACCATTGTATGTAGTTATATTTAATTCCAACCATAAGTTTTCAAGTTATGCTCCGGACAAGGAAAATGCAACGGACGTCTGGACCGACCGACCGACCGCCCGACCGACCAACCGACCGACCGACCGACCGACCACAGGGTGACTCCTATATACCCCCCCAACTTCGTTTTTGGGGGTATAATAAAATTATATTATGCGAGCCTCTGGTGATATTATTTTATTCAACAAGCTCAATAAATTTAGTATTGACCCAACACAAATAAAATATTCTATTTATGACATACCCAAAATAAAGACTGTTTCAAGTGAAAAAGAATATTTTTTTTCGTTGACACGCCTATAAGTATCGCTTACATTTAGCGCGTCTTAACGCTATGTTTGTATAACACAAATGTCGCACATCAAAATATATACTGTGTAGTACCATTTTTACTGAGTCACAAAGGCAGCATAGATATGTTCATCATACTTTATATTTAACTATACAATGTTTATTATGCTATGTTAGTGTTTAAAGGTACATGTATTTCAGTTGCACAGATGTGTTGGTTGATCTTGATTTGTATTTGTCACATGGGTAGACTCAGTTGCTGCCACCCATTTATTATATTTAGGGTTAATTAAATATGAAAATATTAATATGAATATGATTAGCCAACTTTGGTGTCTAAATGCATTAACAAACTATGTACATATTCTAATGTTTGCTACTGAATGTGACAGTTCAGACAAATGTTATTTATGACAGTGCTAGAAATGTAGTTTAAAACATCATTTCTCATTCTAAGCACTTAAAATTACAGACATTTTATAGACAAAAGAAATTAGGTTTGCTACTTCATAAAAAATTTCCAAACTTGCTATAATATGTTGATGTTTTTCTGCTTTTAAAACTAAAATCAAAGGTCATTTCTAAAACAATAAATAATTGATAGGCCTGTAAAAAATGATCTGCACATATGTCATCAAGTTGAACTACTAATGTGAATAAAAATATGTGTCCAGACATCATTAATGCCTCCACATTTTGCTGTATTGTTACCAAAAAAAATCTTGTACTTAGCAGTTATACCCTTGGAGTTACAAATGACAAATATTCAGTCAAATTATGCCCATTGTTGCTTCATCAGGGGCGAATAAATTATTCTGCTAATTTCCAATGAATTTGAGCCAAATTATTGAGATGTGTAAATCAAACAGTCTCATAAAATTTCATGACTTTTGTGACAAGTGACATTACTCTAAGTATGCTAATTTTCGCTAAATCAAAGGCAAATTTTAAACATTAACTCTCCAACAAATTTGCGACAAATTACCACAATATGACAAATATTCACATGCTGACAACTATTCTTCAAGTTTTATGACACTAAAAATTATACTTTTGGAGTTACAAGTGACCAAATATATATATTTAAAAATAATTTAAAAGTGTCTGGGCCTTTTCGATCAATGAAAGACAAAGTGCAATTTTACTTGAAATTGTAAAGTTTTAGTGTTATTTCCCTAAAATTGTGAAGACGAAACCCCATATTTACACATTTTTGTAAAAATAAATTGACAATATACAATTTATAAAAGAAAAACATCACTTGGAATTTTATATACAACATTGGACATCATTAATGCTGCGTTGGGAGCACACTTTTCTCAAGGCTAGATAGAATTCTACAAATGTTCTAAATTAAAACATACTTTGAATTTCTGATTGACCTTTGGATCAATACAAGAGCGATCAGTGATCACATGTGTCGCCTCATGATGGCCAATTTCATGTTGGGACAAGTTTTGTGACAGACGGATAGACAGACGGACAGTGCACCACTAGACTTGGTACTGATCATTCCTGTAAAGTTTGGATAAAATTGCACCAGTAGTTTATGAGGAGTAGTCCGGACAAGCTTTTGTGTATCTGGGCCTTTTCGATCAGTGAAAGTCAAAGTGCAATTTTACTTGAAATTGTAAAGTTTTAGTGTTATTTCCCTAAAATTGTGAAGACGAAACCCCGTATTTACACATTTTGTAAAAATAAATTTACAATACACAATTTATAAAAGAAAAACATCACTTGGAATATTTCAACTTAAAACATTTAAAAAGCTCTCAATTCATCAAATTGTAAATATCTTGAAATTCTCAAGGTATTTAAATCTGACATTGCTACATACATAATGAAATTTTGTTATAATACTTTTTTGAGGCAGCAATCAAAGAAATATTTTATTGTGATAATGGCATTTCATATGGTTGTGAAGTTGCCATTTTGGAATTATGAACGGGCTTTCTTCAAATTGTGAAGAGGCATTTATAAGGACACAATGGACACAAACCAGTCTACAGAGGACTGGCAGGATGGATGGATGAAATTCTAACATGATAGTTTTAAGTAGCTATTCCATTGTTCTTTTAAGCCACATAAAACCATATTATCCACATAAAACTTTTATTGTATGATGGCATCAAAACAAAGTTGCTGCTACAGTATTACTTATTGCCACATAAAATCCAAATGTAAGCATGAATCGTCGATGGTAGATCTACATGACCCCAACTCATAACCCAAATAAGAAGGGGCATAAAAATGTTTTACATGGGGGGAAAAAGCTGCTTTAAACAACTGAGGCTTTCTGAGCAGCATTCATGTAATATTCTTGTAATATTTCCATTTTCTAATAATTTACTTTTTACTTATTTATTTTTATTATGCCCCCATTTCGAAAAGGGGGTATATTGCTTTGCACTTGTCGGTCCGTAGACCAAATGGTTTCCGAGTGATAACTAAAGAACCCTTAGGCCTAGGAACTTCAAACTTGGTATGGTGATTGGTCATGACCAGTAGATGACCCCTATTGATTTTGGGGTCAAGGGGTCAAAGGTCAAGGTCACATTGACCTCTTGGGTAAAAACGGTTTCTGATCAATAACAAAAGAACCCTTAGGCCTAGGAACTTCAAACTTGGTATGGAGATTGGTCATGACCAGCAGATGACCCCTATTGATTTTTGGGTTAAGGGGTCAAAGGTCAAGGTCACATTGACCTTGTAGGTAAAAACGGTTTCCGATCAATAACGAAAGAACCCTTAGGCCTAGGGACTTCAAACTTGAAATGGTGATTGGTCATGATCAGTAGATGACCCCTATTGATTTTGGGGTCAAGGGGTCAAAGGTCAAGGTCACATTGACCTCTTAGGTAAAAACGGTTTCCGATCAATAACTAAAGAACCCTTAGGCCTAGGAACTTCAAACTTGGTATGGTGATTGGTCATGACCAGCAGATGACCCCTATTGATATTGGGGTTAAGGGGTCAAAGGGCAAGGTCACATTGACCTTGTAGGTAAAAATGCTTTCCAATCAATAACTTAAGAACCCTTAGGCCTATGAACTTCAAACTTGGTATGGTGATTGGTCATGACCAGCAGATGACCTATTGATTTTGGGGTCAAGGGGTCAAAGGTCAAGGTCACATTGACCTTGTAGGTAAAAACGGTTTCCGATCAATTAACTAAAAACGCTTAGGCCTATGAACTTCAAACTTTGTATGATGATTGGTCGTGACCAGCAGATGACCCCTATTGAGTTTTGGGTCAAGGGGTCAAAGGTCATATTGACCTTGTAAGTAAAAACGGTTTCTGATCACTAACTTAAGAACGCTTAGGCCTAGGAACTTCAAACTTGGTATGGTGATTTGTCATGACCAGCAGATTACCCCTATTGATTTTGGGATCAAGGGGTCAAAGGTCAAGGTCACATTGACATTGTAAGTAAAAACGGTTTCTCATCAATAACTAAAGAACGCTTCGGCCTAGGAACTTCAAACTTGGCATGGTGATTGGTCATGACCAGCAGATGACCCCTATTGATTTTGGGGTCAAAGGTCAAGGTCACATTGACCTCTTAGGTAAAAACGGTTTCCGATCAATAACTAAAGAACCCTTAGGCCTAGGAACTTCAAACTTGGTATGGTGATTGGTCATGACCAGCAGATGACCCCTATTTATATTGGGGTTAAGGGGTCAAAGGGCAAGGTCACATTGACCTTGTAGGTAAAAATGCTTTCCAATCAATAACTTAAGAACCCTTTGGCCTAGGAACTTCAAACTTGGTATGGTAATTGGTCATGACCAGCAGATGACCTATTGATTTTGGGGTCAAGGGGTCAAAGGTCAAGGTCACATTGACCTTGTAGGTAAAAACGGTTTCCGATCAATTAACTAAAAACGCTTAGGCCTAGGAACTTCAAACTTTGTATGATGATTGGTCGTGACCAGCAGATGACCCCTATTGAGTTTTGGGTCAAGGGGTCAAAGGTCATATTGACCTTGTAAGTAAAAACGGTTTCTGATCACTAACTTAAGAACGCTTAGGCCTAGGAACTTCAAACTTGGTATGGTGATTTGTCATGACCAGCAGATTACCCCTATTGATTTTGGGATCAAGGGGTCAAAGGTCAAGGTCACATTGACATTGTAAGTAAAAACGGTTTCTCATCAATAAGAACGCTTCGGCCTAGGAACTTCAAACTTGGCATGGTGATTGGTCATGACCAGCAGATGACCCCTATTGATTTTGGGGTCAAAGGTCAAGGTCACATTGACCTTGTATGTTAAAACGGTTTCCGACCAATAACTAAAGAACCCTTAGGCCTAGGAACTTCAAACTTGGTATGGTGATTGGTCATGACCAGCAGATGACCTATTGATTTTGGGGTCAAGGGGTCAAAGGTCAAGGTCACATTGACCTTGTAGGTAAAAACGGTTTCCAATCAATTAACTAAAAACGCTTAGGCCTAGGACCTTCAAACTTTGTATGATGATTGGTTGTGACCAGCAGATGACCCCTATTGAGTTTTGGGTCAAGGGGTCAAAGGTTAAGGTCATGACCAGTAGATACTTGATAACCCTTATTAATTGTTTGATCACTGGGTCAGAAGTCATGCATAATAACCTTATCACATGACTAATTGGCTGCTGATAGGGGGCATACATGTTTTACAAACATATCTTGTTTAAGTATATTTTCTATATTGTACACTATCTGTACTGCAGTTTTTTTTTAAACATAGATAATTATGATACATACCATGTGGTCTGAGATGTTTATTTTTACATTTCTTCACCTGTACCTTTGTAGAATTACATTTAGTTGAGTCCCCTTCTTTTAGTGTTAATGTTCGACTTACAGTATTGGTGGCAGCATCACAAGGGCTCCATGGTTGTTTCTCATACTGACATGCTGTAATATATAGTTATCTTATTGTTAATATATACAATTATCTATAACCTAATATTACTTATTTTCAATAATAAGTCACCATTTTGCTTTTCTTTTTGTCTCATGAAATTACCCATTTTCAATTAATTATAGCTATTTAGTTTATATATTCCTTAACACAACACATATTTTATACACAACATTGGACATCATTGATGCTGTGTAATGGGTATCAATAGATGACTTTAATTTTCACAAGAGCTGTCCAAGATGCAGCACACTTCTCAAGGCTAGATAGAAATCTACAAATGTTCTAAATTAAAACATATTTGAATTTCTGATTGACCTTGACCTTTGGATCAATACAATAAAAAGGCTTGCCAGGCAGAACTTATCTGGACAAATCCCCTTATTTTAAGTTTCAATGTTATAGCTTTGTTAGTATTGAAGTTAATGCCCATTTACAAAAAAAAACTTGAGGAAAAATGTAAACCAATTCTTCCAAAAACTGCAGCTATAATGGTACATCAAAATCTGTGTGACTTGTTTCTGGCTTTAAATGGCATACTAAGATGTGAGAAAACGAATCTTACAATCATTGTTATTTCATATATACACTAATATTAATCTTGTTTCAGATATATTATATGTAAAATTGAACAAACAGTCTAGTAAGGTTAATTTAAAGTATGACAATGATACATTGCCTCAGACTCACTTTGTATTACTTTCCAGGTACCACTTGTTTTCTATTAGTCTGTATGTATTAACAATTCATACATATCCTCTATCAATACTGCATATTCATAAAATGCAGATTCACAACATTTCTTAAGAATAAAAAGGAATAATGCAAGTCATAATTCACAGAACATTACTGGTACATCATAAACACATTTCGGCTACGACAAATACCACAATATGTTATTATTCATTGCATGCTAACAGTGAATTATGTGCTCTTAACAAATCTTTACCGTACAATCAAAATTATTTTATTACCACAAAATCTCATTTTGTGCTATTTTTTCCCCATAAAATGAGCCCCACTGTAGGAAACATGATGTAGTTTATGACATCATGAAAAGTGTATTATGGGAATATAGAGACTATTTTACTGCTGTTACTACACACTTATACCCAGCAAACATGCATATATGGGACCCATATGGGCTATATCTAGGCAAGCCCATATGGGTATGCCCATATTGGACCTATATGGGACCAATATGGGCAAGTCCATTTGGGTACGCCCATATTGGACCCATATGGGTCCCATATTACAGCACTATAAGAAAAAACGATTTTTCGTTTATTTATGTCTTTAGAACTTGTTTACTTTGAGCTATAGTGTGACCACCTTGGCATAAATTGCTATTATCTTTTATAAAAATCGTAGCATTAACATATATACAAGCCATGAGGGACCCATATGGGTCCCATTCGGGCAACCCAATAAATATTAGCATGCCTGAGCAGGTGCGAGAAATTAATTTGTTTAGTTTTTATATTGGTTTTAATTTTTATAATCTAAATATAAAAATGTGTTTTTTAGACTATTAATTCAGAAATAATTTATAAAAATCAGCATTTGATGAAAAATTTATTTCGAGCATGCGCAGACGTGATTTCCGCTGCCGCTTAAAATCAAATTGTGTATTGAAACGTTAAATTGTAAAATTGTACACGAAAACAATATTTCATTTCAATTCGGAACATTTAACGACGATTTCGTATAACGACCTTTCATATTATATCCTTACAGATTTATTGTGTGTGTAGGTAAGTGTAAACGTCATTTATTTTTTGTTTTTGCCTTTGCCATGTAATTTCGCGATAGTTTTTGTCAGTTTAATTTGCGACATTTTCTAGAATTTACGCCCAATTTAGACACTTTAACTGACCTATGAATGTGTATAGTTGTTATTGTTGAATAAATTAACTGTGACGGAGTCGACACTAACATTTTAATAATATTGTTTCTATCTAGACTAAATTTTAAGAGATCCTTTTTTAAGGGACACCATCATTTGAAATCCAGTGACCCCTCCTAGCCTTAGAAGTCCCTTAGCGGTTTAAAAATGGCTTAATTTGTATTGTTTTAGCGTAAGAGATATCGATTTCACTCGAAGATAAGGGAAACAACTCGTATTTTTTCACTCGATATACCTCGGTTATTTACGTAGTTCATATGAAAAGTGTTTATGGGTGTATTCAAGTATTTTTTCCAAGTACCAACCAAGCCATATGTTGCACAGGCACGAGTATCGGACAAATATGATATGACAAAAATATGACTCGAAAGATAATTAAACCTGTGTTCATCTTTAAAAGGTCAAAAACCGAAAAAAATTGTAAATTATACCCCCCTTTAAAAACATACTTTAAGTTAAGAGAAGGCTAGAAACTCCAGATTCGAGCCTGCAAGCAAGTGATTCACTTCCGGGGCTGTTGTGAAAACAATTGTCCAGACAATTAAAAAAATCTTTTATCACTTTCACGTTTGTATTAAGCTTCCAAATGGGACCAAGTCTTTAGCCCTTCCCGTTCATGAAATATCTATCGGGGAAACAAACGCATTCATGCTAAAAATCCTTGGTAGACAAAATTGCGGCACAACAATTCGGTACGTAAACATAGACTAGTACATGTTTGCCAGCTGATTATGGGTCATAATCATATTGTCACTTGGCGCAATAACTCACTTAATGTATATGTATTTTATAATTACTTATTAATGTATTTTCATTTTATTGTAAATAGGCCATCAAAAAGGCTGTATGAATCGGATAGTGGCACTGATGAGAATGAGACAGACACAGAGAGTAGGCCACCACAAGTTATTGACCAAGCAACAACGCTCAAAGAGTCACAAAGCCTACTTTCATCTCCGCCTCGCTTATCTGCACAGGCATTGCGAGAGGCCAGCAGTGATGTGCAAAGTGCTTCTCCAATACAAGGTGCTTCTGATACACCCTTCCGTGGGCAGATTATTGGGCCCAGTAAGTATAAACTTCGGAGCTATAAATATATTTATTATTACAGTACATACTTATTAAATGTTATATTCTCAAAACAAGTCAACAAATGTAATAACAAGCGGGATTGAGTGACACAGCCAAAAATGGAAAGTTTCACCTTGTGACGCCCCTAGTTCAAAAAATATTCAAAAGAAATTGATGATTACTTGTGTTAGTCTTTATCATGATGTGAATTTGTGCGCATATTCTTGCCTGACCCCACTACTGTTATCCAAAGTTACGGTCCCTGGAAGAGTCAAGAATGTTTATTTTCACCAAATGACATGCCTAGGCTCAAAAATATGTTAAGTTTAATTCATGATTTCATATCATTTTCACATTTTGTGACCTTGCACACTCAACAATCCTTTTGAGATTTTAGCGTTAATTACTGTTAAAGCCAAGGAAAAATTTAAAATACTGGATTTTTTTCATTTGAGCCGGGTCATGACAAAACCAACATAATGGGTTTGCGACCAGCATGGATCCAGACCACACATAGCTCTAAAAGTATATGGCCTAGAATTATGAATCCTTTTTTTCAGCTGCTGTTACACAGATTCTCCGAGTCTTTGAGACAATGCGAGAGAAGAATCATGAAATTAAGAGGATGGTGCAGCGAATGCTGTTAAGGTCAGCAGCAGATGACCAACCGCTGCAACTTCCGAAAGATATCTCATTCCCTATTCGTTATCCTGAGCAGATGGAAGCATTTGATAAGCTTCTGGGAGATCAGACAATACTCTCATCTGTGGTAAGCATAGTGTTAGTCATGTATGTTGCTCCATTAGTAACTGGAAAAAGTATACCCCATATCCACTGGCCTAAAAAGCGAAATAACATAATGGTCTGTGGTGAGCACTTGATGATAATGTCTAATCATTCTGCTATATTTATGTTGGAAAATATTGCACAGTGGACAAACACTTTGCTGCATTAATTTCAGAATTAAAAAACTGGCATGTTTTAATTTTTTGATTCATATTGACACAGTTTTGTTATTTATATATGCTATAATAGCCATGAGCACAAGACATGGGCAGTTGGCCTCGTTTTCAACATTAATTATTAATTAGGACAAGACAGTCAATTCATTAATCAAAAATGCTGGCAGCTTTCAAAATACCAGGAAAATGACTAGTACCCACAAAATCCAGGAATTGAGCTGTTATTTTATTATCAACAATTATTCTGTTGATATTGAATAAACTCTTGTATAAAAAAAACAATGATAATGTGCCCCATATTACTCGGTGGAGGGGACAAACATAAAGGCACAAGTCACTAAGGTGTTGTCCTAGGCTGTAAATATATGAGGGAAGATCTTTTAATTTGTCAATCCAAACAGTTTTCTCGGCAGATTATGTTTTTGAGGTCCAGTTGACAATTATTTGTCATTTGGTGACTTGCAGCCCATCACTTAGTAGTGTTAAAATTAACGTTAAAAAAAGTTTATGTTCTGCTTTATTTAAGGTGCGGTTCCTCTCAATGTTTGGTATGGCAGATGTACGGGAAACTGTTGACCGCTTGATGAAAGAAACCATGTCAAATGAACTGGCAAGAATGTACAATATGAAGTGGGCTGAAGGGGAAGGAAAAGTTTGTGGGCCTCTAGATACTGAATGTATTGTATAGTAAGTGATATTTTACAAATTTGCAAAGTGGTGTCTTCAAAATAGATATATTATCCAAGATCTTGTTATTGTGTCTTCGGGTATTGCTTTAATGAAGGAAAATGCTTGACTAGCTTTTATGGAAATTAATAAGAGAGAATATTTTACATGCTGTGTGGTTTTGATCCCATGCATTGTGTTGTGATGCATAATATAAACAGAAATCACCTTCCTGTAAAGCAAGTTATTTGCTTACCTTAACATTCTTTACTGATACACCGATAAGATGATCTCAGCTTACAACTGACTGCAGCGATATCACAAAAATATTGTTAAAAGCTATGTAAAACCAGGAAACAAACATCTATATTTGGTAAAACATACCAGAATTAGTTTATATTCCAATTTATACTGCTCAAAATGCTACAAGGTGGCTTATGACCTTTGAATGGTTTCAATACCTTCATTTCACTTCATTTCATTCTTTAAGGATAAGAATGCTTGTTTTGTAGAATGTGTCCAAAGGAACTTGCCGACAAAGGCTGCAACGAGGAAGGATGTTGAAATAGAGGTTTCAAAGTGGCTGGCTGGCGCGCGGGACCGCGATGGGGGAAGAAAAGCAAGAAACAAAGTGTCAGAGACCTTACCTGAAGAAAATGAAGGAAGTGACTAGACATGTTTTTAATCTAAAAATGCAAATTTATAGAGGATATTTGTTTGTTTGTGTGTAAGATGAAATTTTATATCATCAAGAGAGCTTTAAAAACAGTATTCTCATGAGTGGCTATGCGCTTGTGAGAACACTGTTTTTTAAAGTTCCTTCAATGATATAAAATTACATCTTACACAACAAACAATAAAGTGTCTTTTTATTTTATGCTAATGAAATTTCCTCAATATTAACGTTAATATTAAATCTGTTTTCCCCACTGTTAACATCAATTTTAGTTAAATTTAAGTCCCATTTCTCATAAATACAGGAAGTCTTGGGTTGAAAAATAAGTTTGACAATCAACGTTGAATAGCCATGATATTATTTATTGAATTCAAAAAATTTGATAGATGATAAAATCTTTAAAAAGTAGTCTCGTCATAGAAAAGTTTGAAATTTTAATCATTTTACTGTGAAATTATCAAATATATTTTTCACGGATACATCAGTAATACACTCAAAAGCATAAAATAAATGACTTTTATTTTACATTTTCAAACCTTTACTTCATCTGCATATAAGTTATTCCACTGATTGAAAGTCAATATGTATCAAGGTATTTTTAAAATGGGATAAGGGTCAGAACTACAGTAAGCGGCTCATTTGTTTATCTCATATGTTTGACAATCAACGTTGAATAGCCATGATATTATTTATTGAATTCAAAAAATTTGAATGATGATAAAATCTTTAAAAAGTAGTCTCGTCATAGAAAAGTTTGAAATTTTAATCATTTTACTGTGAAATTATCAAATATATTTTTCACGGATACATCAGTAATACACTCAAAAGCATAAAATAAATGACTTTTATTTTACATTTTCAAACCTTTACTTCATCTGCATATAAGTTATTCCACTGATTGAAAGTCAATATGTATCAAGGTATTTTTAAAATGTGATAAGGGTCAGAACTACAGTAAGCGGCTCATTTGTTTATCTTGTTATACTTTTTGTTGCTAATTTTAATGTTTGAGGTCATCAGCATAGCATGTCTTTCTTGTAAATGCAAAATTCTTGTCTAGTCAAATTTTGCCTTCTAGTCAGTATATTCTGCTGCTATTTTATGTTTGTTGTTGACATTATATGCTGTTTTTCTGTTGTCTATATGCTGTTGTTTTTTTTCCATTAAACATTGTTACTGCACGGAGGAAGGTAGTCTAGTACTGGTGTAACTCTCCAGAAACGATGGTTAGGAAACTACCCGCCTATATGACGTAAAAGGCGTAAAATGAAACAAACAAACAAAAAACATTGTTACTATTTAAATCAAGACATTAAATGCTTGGGGAATGTTTTTGATACTGATCAATACAATTATAACATCTTGTCAAAACTTGACACTAACAGGGAACACATGTATTGATATATGGTATTAACCTTTAAAATAAAGTTGGAATACTTTACAATGATGATTCTTGTAATCTTTATTGTTGTTATTGTTGAAACTTTGATAATATCGGAGAAATTACTGAAACCAACTATTTTTACTGACAATTTTTTTAATGAATTTTTTCACAACAAATTTGATCTTTGTGTAATATCACATTTTAATTATTATTGATTTTTACAAACTTGTACAAACTATTTTTTATTTTTCATCAGCTGCATATTTTGTTTACATGTCTATAAACAGTATTTCAATGTGCCAAGATTTTGTGTATTATATTTGTTACTTTTCATTAGCTGCATATTTTGTTTACACGTCTATTACAGAATTTGTAACAACCGTGCCAACCTTTTGTGTATCATATTTGTTACTTTAGCTGCATATTTTGTTAACACGTCTATATAAACAGTATTACAACCGTGCCAACCTTTTTTGTATTACTTTTTGTTACTTTTCATTAGCTGCATATTTTGTTGACAATTACAACAGTGCCAACCTTTTGTGTATTATATTTGTTACTTTTCATTAGCTGCATATTTTGGCCACACGTCTATAAACAGTATTACAACCGTGCCAAGGTTTTGTTAATTATATTAATTTTTTTTTTCATCAGCTGCATAATATTTTGTTTACACATCTATGAACAGTATTACAACCGTGCCAAGGTTTTGTTAATTATATTAATTTTTTTTCATCAGCTGCATAATATTTTGTTTACACATCTATGAACAGTATTACAACTGTGCCAAGGTTTTGTTTTATTATATTTGTTACTTTTCACGAGCTGCATAACATTTTTTTCTTCAGCACTATCATACCAAAGTGTAATACATGGTTGTTATGAACAACTTTTTATATTAATTGATGTAGATCTGTATCATTTGAAAATGAAAGTAATTGGTAGATAGAAATTTGTAATGAATTACAGTAAATGTATAATACTTTTTCTATGAATTATGTAGAAAGTTAAAAAGACATTTAGGGTCTTACTGTTGATTTACTGAAATTTAAACATTATACACATATATTTCTTGGAGTTCCAAAGACCTTCTGTAAAGTTTTACCAGTGTCTAGCATAAGTTTCATTTTTCCTTATAGTGATCTGTAAGGTATCTAATGTTATAAAACTGCATTTTTAATTATTTTGTTCGTACATTATAAACAGTTTTCCATTACATGTTGCTTATTTAGTGTACCAAAGTAATATTTACTACCTGGGACTTTTTGAATAATAATTAATATTTCTGTATTTTTGAATTTAAAACTATGTAGTCAAAATGAAATTCTGTGGATTCACAAATATGTACAGTTTACTTGGATTTTTATATTGTACACTTTTCTAAGTTTATTTACATAAGTAAAGGTTTCTTTGTTGACATCAGGCGTCCACAGAATGTATTGAGAATCTGTATATATATGATATACACTTACCATAAGTGAGATTACTAAATAAAGTTACATTGTTAAAGCATATACATTGTGTATTGTTTTCTTGCATGATCATAAAGGCTTTGTGCCATAATCTGTCTGTTCCAGGAAACAGAATGAGTTAAAACATCACTTGAATATTTAACGCAAGTACAAGAATCATGCTCTGTAGCAAGCGGTTGCTATCTAAACGCTCAGCAAAACTTATAATTGAAGTAATTGAAAATAGATCTACCCCGGAATTCAAAATCTACCCATAATGGAAGTATCTGGGCTGCCCATTTGAAACCCATATTTAGTACAAGGGCTGCCCATATGGGGCCCATGTGGGGCCCATATTGTGTACATGGGCTGCCCAGATGGGGCCCATGTGAATCCCATATTGAGTATAAGGGCTGCCCAGATGGGACCCATTTGGAACCCGGTTGCACTTCCTATATGGGGCCCATATGGGCAGCCCAAATGGGACCCATATAGGTGCCCATATGGGCCCCACATGGGTCCCATATAGAATGCTATCTGGGTAGTATCTTATGTATCAATTCAGATAATATAGTTTTATGAATGAACCCTTGCTGCAAAAGGAAATTATTTCTGATTTCTATTTTATCCGGGACATAAATCTCCGGGACATCTTCATGACAGTCATCCTATTTCCGGGACAGTCCCGATGTCCAGGCATGTATGGAATGTGACAATCAACTTGACAAACAAAAGTTAAAAAAAATAGAAAAAAAAAAGTAGATCCATTGTCAATTTTCTTTAAATATCTTCCAGCTGTCCAATCCAGAATTTTCATAATGTAAAATATTGTTGAAATCTTTAGGATAATAGTGTAGTAACACTATGATTGACAAATGGTCATCAAATCAAAATGTCAGCTTCCTTAATGATAGATCTTCTTTATTTTGTAAAAGTATGAGATGGAAATATTTAAAATTTTATAAATGTATGATTTTTTATATAAATTCAACCCCTTAAAAGATCACAATTTATTATCTCAAACAGTCAACCCCTTTAAAAGAACATCTAAAATGTCTCATGGTGTTAACTATGTCTGTTAAAAACTTGTTTTGCTCTCCTTTCACAGAGGGATTATAATTGAATCACTGTTCCCTTCCATCACTAAGTGTGTACATGTACTTAGTCTCCCACTGATAACATAAATCTCATATAGAAAGACTATAAGAGGATTTTCTCCTAAGAAAAAACCTCCAAGATATTATTAATCTGTGTTTTTTCAGACATCTACTTGCTTTTCCATTCTTAGAAATACTTAAAAGATATACTAGAAGCAAACATTTGTAAGTGAAATAATCAAACATTTTCACTGAATTTTATGTTATCTTTACCATTTTTCAATTAAAGATTAACCATATGGCAGGATTTGCACCAAATGCTACTTAAGCTTGGTATTGCTTGCAAAAACAATTGTTTGGCAACAATAAAATTTCTATATCCACATTTATTGACTTTCAGTAGAAAAAACAACTACAGCACAACATCTACACAGTATAGCTCTAGAAACAATAGCATCACTAGTTGTACAGTGTAATGTTTCCAGAAAACTCTACAGAGTATTAAATTGTACACTAATTTAATTTAATATGGATATCACCAAAAATGGTAATGGACAGTTCCAAAAAGAAAGCTGGAAAAGTCCATTTTAGAAATTCAGCAAGTTAAAGGTAGAATTTGATCACAACATTGTATTTTAAATAAAAACGTAATCCTTAAACAGCAAATAAGACAAAGGCATTGTATTGCAAGTGATGCAAAAACAACAACATTGTATTGAAAGTAAGGCAGTATTGCAAATAACACAAAAAAACATTATATACATCATTTGACTTAATGTATCTGGATGTATCATATATGGTTGTCAAGAGGACTTGGCATGAGGCCAAAAATGAATGTTTTAATGCATTATAGAAAACAATCTTGATTTTATAATTTATGTGATAAAACCAAAAATCAATATGTATCAGAATATTTTAATTACAATCAAATTATATATCAACTATGTATTAAACTTACCTTTTCCTTTCCCTTTCTTTTTGTTTGTCTTCTTTACACAAGATTTTGTTGCTGTTTTCTTTAAAGGACATATTTCAGGATCACCTTTCTTCAAGGTTACCTCCCTTGACCTGACCCCTGTTGTAAGGTCACAGTCACTCCACTTTCCAACCTTCTTATATTTACAGTTAGCTGCAAAAAGCAAATCAAAACTGTAGAGATGCATTTTGCATATATACTAAATAAGTTACAAGGTAAATGATATTTGCTGAAATGTTGTTGTTGTTGTTGCCAGATTTTAAGTCATACAACAACTTTAATGATCATATGGTGACATTTTAGCTTTACTGTGAAGGAAGACTTCAGGTGACCCTCTGTGCATTATTTCAGGCAAAGCTGGCACCTGAGTAGAGCAACCAACATTATGTAAGCTGGCTTGAGAGCTTCCTCATAAGAAAGACTCTAAAGTGGAACCCACAGCTGTGATGGGCAAGTGGTTTCAAGTTAACAACAATAACTTCCAGCATTTGATATACATGTAAATATAACTCTAACACACAGACAAAAGGAAAAAATATTTGACTGACAATAAAGCATAAACATATAAACATTACAAATGTGTCTCAATCTTGCAACTCTTGTTTCATTTTGACAATTTAAATACATTTTGTATTGATTTTATGCAGTTAAAATCATTTAGATTATATTGGTACTTATTTTAAACAGCCTATCTGCTTATGAAGTATCATACTTTAAATTTCAATGTAAGATTCACATTCTCATCTTCCTGCCTTTAACTTATTCACAAATGCAAATAAAGGCAAATAATGTGATGATAAAGGATGATAAAGGATGACATTATTACTGACTGAATGTTTTACCCTCTCCTCACTGAATTAATATTACAGATCTGTTCTACTTTAAATTTGGAACTGCAGTTCAATTTTCTTGCATTAAATCAAATGCAAAGCTTTTTTACAATACTTCATTCAGGCAGCAATGCTGACAGTTATACCTAGCTAGTGTTCCTATAGCCTGTACCAGTCTAGCTAGTGTTCCTATAGCCTGTACCAGTCTAGCTAGTGTTCCTATAGCCTGTACCAGACTAGCTAGTGTTCCTATAGCCTGTACCAGTCTAGCTAGTGTTCCTTTAGCCTGTACCAGTCTAGCCTAATGTTCCTATAGCCTGTACCAGTCTAGCTAGTGTTCCTATAGCCTGTACCAGTCTAGCTAGTGTTCCTATAGCCTGTACCAGTCTAGCCAGTGTTCCTATAGCCTGTTCCAGTCTAGCTAGTGTTCCTATAGCCTGCACCAGTCTAGCTTATGTTCCTATAGCCTGTACCAGACTAGCCAGTGTTCCTATAGCCTGTACCAGTCTAGCTAGTGTTTCCTATAGCCTGTACCAGTCTAGCTAGTGATCCTATAGCCTGTACCAGTCTAGCTAGTGTTCCTATAGCCTGTACCAGTCTAGCTAATGTTCCTATAGCCTGTACCAGTCTAGCTAATGTTCCTATAGCCCTGAACCAGTCTAGCTAGTGTTCCTATAGCCTGTACCAGTCTAGCTAGTGTTCCTATAGCCTGTACCAGTCTAGCTAGTGTTCCTATAGCCTGTACCAGTCTAGCTAGTGTTCCTATAGCCTGTACCAGTCTAGCTTAGTGTTCCTATAGCATGTACCAGTCTAGCTAGTGTTCCTATAGCCTGTACCAGTCTAGCTAGTGTTCCTATAGCCTGTACCAGTCTAGCTAGTGTTCCTATAGCCTGTACCAGTACTGGACTGTTATTTTTCTGCCAGTTACTTCAAACCTCTCCACTTAAACCACCAGAAACAACTGCCAAGGGCAAACGGCATTAGAGAAACTATAATCAAACACATTGTTATGATAAACATGCACGTTGCTAAAGTCTCAAACTCAAAGATCTGAGGTCTTGCTCATAGGAACTCGAGAACGGGACCGCAGATTGCGGCGCATATTTTCGATCGTGTAACGGTTTTTAAAAACGTTTCTGCTACATCTAAATATCTTTAAGTATTATCCGAGCATATGGCCTCAAACAATATATTATCACTTGAACCCAATCTGTTACTTTTAAAACTGGTCAAATTTTACAGTATTATAAAAAAAGACAAGGAGTGACATCCGCCATTTGCCGCAACGTTAGGTATGAGTTTTCCCCCTTTGGCTACACTTGATTACTATTTTTTCAGAATTTTGTTCCCCTTATCGTTGTCAACTATCAGGTATCGTAACGGTTTATTGTTTACACGTGTTGACATGCACTAGTGTTTGACATGTATAGTCGGCATTATAACGGGCGTACTCGTGTTATGATTTGTTTACATGGAGAAAACAGACACTTTAGTAATATGGTCTAATAGATTTTGCGTAACTGAAAAAAAGGAATATTAAAACATGATCCATAGATAAATATTCAAGGCACTCATCTGGTATTCCTTATTAGGAAATGTGAAAGTTTCCCATGTGTTGAGTGACATAAAGAGAGTACTAGAAAAATTAAAACAAAAATCAAGCATATCAAGGGGGATAACTTACGCCGAACGTTGCGGCAAATGGCGGATGTCACTCCTTTTCTTTTTTCAATATACCGTAAATTTGACTGATTTTTTAATTAGCAGATTATACTAAATTGAGATAAGATAATTAAAGACCATCCTCTCGTATAATATAAAAGATATTCAAAGGTCGGACAAACAATATGTAAAGCTGGTACAGATTCGGATTTATGCGCCGCAATATGCGGTCCTGTGCCTATGGTCTTGCTGGGTTTATCAATTCTATTCCACTCCTTCCTGGGTTTTATCTATTATACCTTATAATTGGTTTTTTCTGTGGGCTCCAAATTCTGCGATTTTTTTCCAAATTTTGGCATGTCTTTATTTCTGCGCACTTTATTTCTGCGGCACATTCTTTGGACAAAATGTGATTTAAATTCTTCGACTGATCTAAAAAAGGTCTAAGTCACATTACACTACTTATAACATTTGCATGTGTTTATTTTTCATCACTGCAAAAATGTCCAGTAATTAATACTCGCATGAAATCAAAATATAATGTGCATCAATAGAAAAGTATGCATCTTTTAATCACCGTGAATTAAAGTGTGAAAAATATACCCTAGTAGTATCTTTAACTCTACAAAATTGATAGATATTTAAAGTAAAGCATACGACAATTAAAGTATACGACGATTATCTAGCAGTACAAGGGTTAAAATGGTTTGAATGATTTGGTGGGAAACAAACCTTTATGCGTACTGGCAAACACTATAATTATATGATGTTTAAGTATGTTTAATCATAAATTGACACAATTACAATAAGTACATCCTTACAAATATAGATTATATACTTAGCCAACAGTAATTTTATAAACTCGATGACCCGCAACTTTATAATCCGTTAGTCGTTATTATTAATTTACATAACAGAGGTCATAACATAGGACACATATTGCAACAGGTTAAAAACCAAAACATTGTGAAATATTCTGTTTTAATTTCTGCGGTGCTTAAACTGACCGCAGAATACACAGAAATAAAGTCACCATACGGTATTCCTCTCCTTCCTGGGTCTTTTAATTCTATTCCTCTCTTTACTGGGTTTATCAATTCTATTCCTCTCCTTGCTGGATTTATCAATTCTATTCCTCTCCCTGCTCAGTTTATCAATTCTATTCCTCTCCTTGCTCAGTTTATCAATTCTATTCCTCTCCTTGCTGGATTTATTGATTCTATTCCTCTCATTGCTCAGTTCATCAATTCTATTCTTCTCCTGGCTCAGTTTATCAATTCTATTCCTCTCCTTGCTGGGTTTATCGATTCTAATCTCCTTCTTGCTGGGTTTATCGATTCTATTCCTCTCCTTGCTCAGTTTATCAATTCTATTTCTCTCCTGCTGGGTTTATCGATTCTATTCCTCTCCTTGCTGGGTTTATCGATTCTATTCCTCTCCTTGCTCAGTTTATCAATTCTATTCCTCTCCTTGCTGGGTTTATCGATTCCATTCCTCTCCTTGCTCAGTTTATCGATACTATTCCTCTCCTTGCTCAGTTTATCGATACTATTCCTCTCCTTGCTCAGTTTATCGATTCTATTCCTATCCTTGCTGGGTTTATCAATTCTATTCCTCTCCTTGCTGGATTTATCAATTCTATTCCTCTCCTTGCTCAGTCTATCAATTCTATTCCTCTACTTACTGGGTTAATCAATTCTATTCTCCTTCTTTCTGAGTTTATCAATTCCATTCCTCTATTTGTTGAGTTTATCAATTCCATTCCTCTATTTGTTGAGTTTATCAATTCCATTTCTCAATTTACTAGTTTTATCAATTCTATTTCTATACAAACTCGCAAGATTATGATAATATATTCTGGTTAGACTACACAATATGCCGGATATTCTGGTCTTAAACCAGTCACAGAGTCAAGCAGTTATCAATACTAGCTGTCAAACATTTAACTTACTTTTTAAACCTTTATGTTGCCTCTTACAAATTTTTTCTAATACTTGTGTAGGTGGGCAGGTATTTTTGTCACCTCGTTTTAAAGTTTTCACCATAGTTTTAATATTTGTAGTTCCATCACATTCACTCCATTGGCCCCTTTTATATTTACAACCTGAAAAGTTAGCACGAAAAAGGTATCATATTTATAAAAAAAAACACCCTGAAAACAAATTCTTATGAACTGTTTATTGCACAAAATATTTAACCTCCCACATTACAAGGAGATAAACTTCTCTCTATCAAGGAAAATGATGTTGATCACTTACAATCACATTCTGTATGTGACTGTAAAAGATTTTTCTGTCCCTTTAATTACAGTAAAATCAAAACAACAATCTTATATAAACACATCTGTCTGTTTCATATTTTGATGTGCATATAGTTACACTTCTGTGTTAAAGTTAGATAATCAAAGTCTGAATATATATCCAAATGACTACTATACTACAAAACTCTTAAGAAAAATTCAACTGTTCTGCAGATGGCCAAATGAATTGTTAATTATTACAAAATAGCTAACACAAGAGCTGTCCGTAAGACAGCGCGCTCGACTTTTTTATTGCTTGCCAATAAAAAAAGTTTTTGCAGTAAAAGGCAATACAAGAATCTCTGTATTTTTAAAGTGAACAATGGCCATGAGCATTAAGATATTTAGTGAAGAATTATTTTACTGAATTGTGTGATACCCTTGAACACTGCAGGTTCAGTGGATAGGAATGAATTTTTTTTAGATTTTTTAAGTTTTTTAGTGCTTGCCTATAATACAAAACATTGACAGTTAAGGGCCATAATTCAAATAAAATCTTTGACAGAATTACCTTCTCCTGGACATGTTTGGGAATCATGATTGTAAACAAGTATTCCAACTTTCAAATTAATATCTCAAACAGTTCAGTCAAAAAGTGGACTGGTACTAAAAAACTTAACCAAGATTCTAAGTCGATAAAAGGCCTTAATTTTTAAAACAAATCCTTGACAGAGTTACCTTCTCTGCGTACAGATGGGGTAAATGATGTGAAATAGCATTAAAAGTTTCAAAGCAATATCTCAAAGGGTTAAGGCAATAAGTGGATTTTACCCATATTCAATGTATTTTCTAAGTCAAAAAGGGGCATAATTCTGTCAAAAACCTTGACAGAGTTATGTCCTCTTGTCTGTTGATGAAGGTCGTGATGGTAAACAAGTATGGTCAGTTTCAAAGCAATACCTCCAATGGTTTTGAAATAAAGTGAGGTGGTACAAAAAACTTAACCAAGCTCAATACACTTTCTAAGTCAAAAAAGGGCCATAATTCTGTCAAAAACCTTGACAGAGTTATGTACTCTTGTCTGTAGATGGAGGTTATGATGGTGAACAAGTATGGTAAGTTTCAAAGCCATACTTGTAATACTTCTGAAATAAAGTGGGGTGGTACGAAAAACTTAACCAAGATTCTAAGTCGATAAAAGGCCTTAATTTTTTTAAAACAAATCCTTGACAGAGTTACCTTCTCTTGCGTACAGATGGGGGTAATGATGTGAAATAGCATTAAAAGTTTCAAAAGCAATATCTCAAAGGGTTAAGGCAATAAGTGGATTTTACCCATATTCAATGTATTTTCTAAGTCAAAAAAGGGCATAATTCTGTCAAAAACCTTGACAGAGTTATGTCTCTTGTCTGTTGATGAAGGTCGTGATGGTAAACAAGTATGGTCAGTTTTCAAAGCAATACCTCCAATGGTTTTGAAAATAAAGTGAGGTGGTACAAAAAACTTAACCAAGCTCAATACACTTTCTAAGTCAAAAAAGGGCCATAATTCTGTCAAAAACCTTGACAGAGTTATGTACTCTTGTCTGTAGATGGAGGTTATGATGGTGAACAAGTATGGTAAGTTTCAAAGCCATACTTGTAATACTTCTGAAATAAAGTGGGGTGGTACGAAAAACTTAACCAAGGTGTGACGCCGACGCCGACGCCGGGGCGAGTAGGATAGCTCCCCTTTTCATAGAAAAGTCGAGCTAAAAAACTTTTGAATATATTTGTTTCAGTGAAACAGTAAATGCTCGGCAGTCTCTACTGAATACATTTAAGAAATCAGAAAATGCACCATGATATGTTAACACAGTATTTATGTTTCAGTGTTTGTTATCTTCATTTCTGATTTGAGACATATATAACAAAACAATCAAATTACGTCTTGGTAATGACAAAATTATTTGTCCGTGCCCGATTTGTATTTGTTAAATGAAAATTTGGATTACAATTATGCGCGGACAGCATCATGTATCTATCTAAATATGTTTCCGCTAACATTAAAACAAAGTCAATAATGTGATTTGTATAGATTTTCTTTATTTCAAGTCTGTAATTGAGATTACAACATTCTGCGGAAATACCCATTTAAATTCCAAATCAGTAGAATATGTTGTCTTAATTTTTTTTACATAATTTATGTTTGTTATAGAAACACAATACACAACACATTGAGTTGATATTTATTGGCAAACTAAAACTTGAAGAACTAATACAAAAAGTTCTTTCCAAATACCATGAATAGCATTACTATTGCAAAGGTAAACTGGGAATTATCCAACTATTATTAGGATATTTTAGTAAAACAGCTGAATATTCCCAAGCAATAGACACAAGTGACCATCATAATGTCAATTTTCTGTTCTGAAAACATTTATAAACATTAAGAGTTATCTCCCTGCCCACTAGAGTAATAAAAGTATGCAGACAATACAATATTCTATGAGAGATAATATAAGAATCTTATTAACATATTTCAGACAGTACATCATACACAAATTACCATATTTATACCAGCTGATCATGCGAAAGTTGCCATTAACCCAGGTTTAGTATATCAAGATATATACCAGAATTATGACAGGGCCATAGAAAATGTTCCATTTATGTGTAAATATAATTCACTGTTGTTCTATGTTAGTGCCAAGAGAGTGCCAACATCATTGATTATTCCAAAATCATCAACAGATAACAATTCTTACATTAACTTGAACTTACAGACAACTAAACAAATGAAATTGTTTTGTAGTGCACATCAGGAGAGACCAAGTAGCAATTATGACATGTCCACGATTCCAGGATTGAGTCCAGCCAGTCTTGCTATCCGTACAATCTGACTAGGTTCTATACTGCTTGCTGCTTAACCTTAAACTTACAGTAGCAGTTCCGAATTCAAGCCAGGACAAGTGAATTATAGCTTGGAATTTTTTTTTTTCATTTTTTTTTCTAATTAAATTCTATGGGGGGGGGGGGGGGGGGGGGGGGGTACATTACCAACACAGTGTAGGTCATATGGCAACTTTCCAGCTTTACTGGTAAAAAGGAAGACATCGGGTTCCCTTTAATGCATTATTCTAGACACAAAGAGGGGATGTAATTGTTTGCAGTTAATCAAAAAAAAAAAATCATTATGCCATTATGAATAAGATAGGAACTCCAGATTAAACTAAATCTGTGTTCAAAGGACACGGATGCCCCCACTGACAACATATATATGGTATATAGTGAAAAAATCAACAAAGGGCCATAATTCTGTTAAATTTGGTTGCAGCGAAAATTCCTTCCTTCACTTTTCCATCTACACATTAAGGTTGTTCATCCCTGGAAGTTTAAGCAAAATCTGCCATCTGGTTTAAGAGGAGTTGTGTTCACAAAATTTCTACATAGTATATAGTGAAAAAATCAACAAAGGGCCATAATTCTGCTTAATTTGGTCGCAGCAAAAATTCCTTCCTTTACTACCATCTACACATTAAGGTTGTTCATCCCTGGAAGTTTAAGCAAAATCTGCCTACCGGTTTAAGAGGAGTTGCGTTCACAAAATTTCTACATAGTATATAGTGAAAAAATCAACAAAGGGCCATATTTCTCTTAAATTTGGTCGCAGCGAAAATTTCTTCCTTTACTACCATCTACACATTAGGGTTGTTCATCCCTGGAAGTTTAAGCAAAATCTGCCATCCGGTTTAAGAGGAGTTGCGTTCACAAGATTTCGGGACGTACGGACAGACAGACGTACGGACAAGTGCAATGCTATATGCTCCCACTTTGTGGGGGCATAACAATATGAAAATCTGGCATGAAGTAACATTTTCTTTTCATTCAAATATATTCTTCCTGTTACAGAGAATTATGTAAACTAGAAATGTGTCCATAGGACACGGATGCCCCCACAAGCCACTGTTCTGTCAATCTTATGACTCTAGGTCAAATATTTTTTGGACTACATGTGCTACAAGTTGAAAACTAAAAATCAACAAAGGGCCATAATTCTGTTAAATTTGGTTGCAGCAAAAATTCCTTCCTTTACTACCATCTACACATTAAGGTTGTTCATCCCTGGAAGTTTAAGCAAAATCTGCCATCCGGTTTAAGAGGAGCTGCGTTCAAAAAATTTCTAAATAGTTTATAGTGAAAAAATCAACAAAGGGCCATAATTCTGTTAAATTTGGTCGCAGCAAAAATTCCTTCCTTTACTACCATCTACACATTAAGGTTGTTCTTCCCTGTAAGTTTCAGCAAAATCTGCCATCCGGTTTAAGAGGAGTTGCGTTCACAAGATTTCGGGACGTACGGACAGACGTACGGACGGACAGACGGACGGACGCTATATGCTCCCACTTTGTGGGGGCATAAAAATGTATTATCAAGGAAAAAAATTATTACCATTTGGTCTCTGATTTTTCCTTTTGCACAATTTTTCTACAGTTTTAACTGGTTCACATATACTAGGATCTCCCCGTTTAAGTTTTTGTTCTCGTGTTTTAACATTTGTTACAGGGTCGCAGTCACTCCAGCTTCCTCCACGACTATATTTACACTCTGTACCTACAAACACAAAAAGGTTTTAAAAAAGTTTTATTTTATAATCAATCATTTTAAAAGTTTAAAACGGAAATGTTTAAATTAAAGTTTCCCTACAACGTAAATTCAATTTCCTGCAAAAGCTTTTCTAACAGTTTATATCACTGCACATATAATTACCTGCCATGTCTCCTCCTAACTGAAGATGTTTACATCTGTATTGTTACATGGAATTTAAATTGAACATTTTTTATCATCAAATGAAATAGATTGATATGAGCCGCGTCATGACAAAACCAACATGGTGCGTTTACGACCAGCATGAATCCAGACCAGCCTGCGCATCCGTGCAGTCTGATCAGGATCCATGCTGTTCGCTTACAAACCCTATAACAACTAGAGAAAGTGATAGCGAACTTAAGTTAACATTGTGGCATCACCAATATGAAGAGTTCTTAAAGATTTACAAAATTTAGAAGTACATCTTCCCTCTGAAATAATAAATCATAAAATGTGGGCTTTTATCATATTACTCACTACTTTTCTTATCCTGTAGCTTATGTACAAAGGCATTATTAATATTCTTCTTTAAAGAAGCCCTTTGACAAGATAATAAAAATTCAAAAATTGCTTTTAAAGCCATATAATCTTATAATTAATGATATTGTTTTCCAATCTGAGGGAAGGGTATCCACAATTATGACATAATTCTTCATCAATCTGTTTTCCACAAAAGATATAAAAGTACATTGTCCTGGAGGGTAGTTGTAGTGAGAGACGGAGCTGATTATCTCTTACAACGCCTCGTTACTTTGATGTCCCCTCTCTTTTATAATAATTTCTCCAAGAAATAATGAAAATTGTAAAAAAATGATCAATTTGGTTTTCATCTTAGCCAATTATGAAATGTAATATAGTGTATTTTTACTGTTAATTAGATCATTTGTTATTCTAATTTCTCCAAGTCTTTTTATCCTGAGTTATTACCAATTATAATGTTATAATAATCATAATATTTACATAAAAACATCAGAATTAATTGAAACTAAAGGTAGCTTGAACCTTTTTCTTCTTATTTTTAAAAATAATTATTTAAGAAAAGCTATGTCTTTTATCTTATAAATTTTGCTTTACAGTGTATATAATAAACTATTGTACACTTAAAATAATGGAAACTTGTATTATGAATTATGTACAACAGATAAAATGAGAGAAAATAAAATTTTAAAGCAGCGCTCATTCTCTCTCTCAAATAAAAATATGTAAGAGTGATGATTGTTGCAACCCCTATAACATTTTTGTGGATATTCTTTGCTTGAAGTTCTTCTTTGAAATTGTTTGGCACATTCTCTACCATGTTTTCGATTAAGAACTTATTTCTTTCTTTTAAACATACATGCCATAACGTCCCCGATGTCCGGGACAGTCCCGGAAATAAGGTGTCTGTCCCGGAGATGATTTATGTCCCGGTAAAAAAAAAATCTAAAATAATCAACTTTGAGGCAAGAAATTTTACATTTTTATATAATTTTACTTTAAAATTTAAAACTCATTAAAATACAAATGTATACAAGAAGCGCCGCAATGCGACGAAAACCAGGTTTTCAACGACCAAGTTTTGATGTGACAGAAATCAATAGGTCAAAGTGCACTGAAGTTATTGAGTAGAAGCTGAAAATTCTATTGTAAGCAAATGACCTTGAACTTGCTCCCAGATATCTAAGTGGCAATCCAAAGCTGCCACTCAGCAATTTTGGTGTCAAAAGGTCAAAGCAAACTCAAGTTATAACATGAAAACTAAATACATTAACCTTGATCACAGACACCTGGGTAGCAATCCCAAGCTGCCTCTTGATATAAGCTACCCATTCATAAAGTTTGGTGTCAATAGGCCAAAGCAAACTCAAGTTATTGAGCGGATATTGAATTTCTATTTTTAGTAACAGTGACCTTGACCTTGATCACAGACACCTGGGTAGCAATCCCAAGCTGCCTCTTGATATGAGCTACCCATTCATAAAGTTTGGTGTCAATAGGCCAAAGCAAACTCAAGTTATTGAGCGGAAACTGAATTTCTATTTTTAGTAACAGTGACCTTGACCTTGGTCACAGACACCTGGGTAGCAATCCCAAGCTGCCTCTTGATATAAGGTATCCATACACCAAGTTTGGTGTCAATAGGTCAAAGCAAACTCAAGTTATGGAGCGGAAACTGAATTTCTATTTTTAGTAACAGTGACCTTGACCTTGGTCACAGACACCTGGGTAGCAATCCCAAGCTGCCTCTTGATATAAGCTATCCATACATCAAGTTTGGTGTCAATAGGCCAAAGCAAACTCAAGTTATGGAGCGGAAACTGAATTTCTATTTTTAGTAACAGTGACCTTGACCTTGATCACAGACATCTGGGTAGCAATTCCAAGCTGCGTCTTGATATAGGCTATCCATACACCAAGTTTGGTGTCAATAGGTCAAAGCAAACTCAAGTTATTGAGCGGAACCTGAATTTCTATTTTTTAGTAACAGTGACCTTGACCTTGATCACAGACACCTGGGTAAGCAATCCCAAGCTGCCTCTTGATATAAGCTATCCATACACCAAGTTTGGTGTCAATAGGCCAAAGCAAACTCAAGTTATTGAGCGGAAACTGAATTTCTATTTTTAGTAACAGTGACCTTGACCTTGATCACAGACACCTGGATAGCGATCCCAAGCTGCCTCTTGATATAAGCTACCTACACACCAAGTTTGGTGTCAATAGGTCAAAGACAAACTCAAGTTATTGAGCGGAAACTGAATTTCTATTTTTAGTAACAGTGACCTTGACCTTGATCACAGACACCTGGGTAGCAATCCCAAGCTGCCTCTTGATATAAGCTATCCATACACCAAGTTTGGTGTCAATAGGCCAAAGCAAACTCAAGTTATTGAGCGGAAACTGAATTTCTATTTTTAGTAACAGTGACCTTGACCTTTGATCACAGACACCTGGATAGCAATCCCAAGCTGCCTCTTGATATAAGCTACCTACACACCAAGTTTGGTGTCAATAGGTCAAAGCAAACTCAAGTTATTGAGCGGAAACCAAAAGTTGACGCCTGCCCGCCCGCCCGCCCGCCCGCCCGCCCGCCGACTTCGGCATTACAATAACCCGGTTTTCGTTGAAAACCTGGTTAATAAACACACAATCTGTCGGACCAACACAAACAAAATCCGTTCTGAAATAAGGAGATCCAAGACCCTCTAGAGAAATGAAACCAGTGCAGTATTAAGTTGAAAAATTTGTTTAAAAGTGTCACTGATAACTGATACATTACAAAGGAGCCAGAGCCTTGTACATTGTACATGGATAATAGCCACTATGTCACTATAGTGATCAATTTTTACAATATTTATCTCCCTTGCCAAAAGGCAGCCATTTTGGGAGTCAATATTCTAGACAACAAAAATGACAAAATATAGATATATCAATATAAACAGCTGATTAAAAATATGTGATTTGTCAGATTCTTTTATATATATGCAGCAAAATATTATTATAGGACCAATATGTAAAAGAATTTTATCATATTTTATAAAGATGATAGAATTATGATAGATTTTTTTATCGATCTTATCTTGAGTAAACGATATATCAGGAATGACCTAAAAATGGCGGCCTGGGGAGATAATAATTGCTATGTGAAAGTATCTATAAATGGCTGTTACCAGTGCTTTGTCTTTTCCGTCTGCACAATTTTTCTACAGTTTTAACTGGTTCACATATACTAGGATCTCCTCTTTTAAGTTTTTGTTCTCGTGTTTTAACATTTGTTGCAGGGTCACAGTCGCTCCAGCTTCCTCCACGACTATATTTACACTCTGTACCTAAAAAACACAAAAAAAAAAAATTTATAAATACAAACTACGGAGCCCTTAAGGTGAAAAAAACACTATTTATATTGCATTTACATGCCTTATATGTAGTCAGGAACTTAGTTTCAAGGCCTTCTTTATAAATATTACCAAAACTCTTTGAAACCCTAGAAAAAATTTAATTTGTTTTTACGAAATATTTCGTATTTACAAATTATTATTTTGTAATTATGAAATAACATTTCGTTTTTACGAATTAATATTTCGTAATTACGAAATAATATTTCGTAATAACAAAATAATATTTCGTAAAAATGAATTAATATTTTGTAATTACGAATTAATATTTCGTAAAAAAATAATTATAATATTTTGTAAAAATGAATTAATATTTCATAATTACGAATTAACATTTCGTTATTACGAATTATTATTTCATAAAAACCAGGAAAAAGTGTGGAAAATGTCACCTTAGGGGCTCTGTACAAAACTCTCATTCTCTTACCACACTCCAAAATAAGAAGAAAAAACATCTTGTTACATGCACTAACATTTTAGTATTCATAAAACTGAAACTTAGAAATAAAATCCTGTTTTGTTTTCCAAGAAATCTAAAGATACACCTATATATAATTAGATTTGAGCATGATGTACTTTCTCTATTGGTAACCATAAATGATATATAAATCAAATCTAAGGAACAAAATTTTCTCTGTTTTATCAAATTACATGCAGTAGATTGATTAGAGAATCTAATCTCTTATATTTAATTTCTCAACTTAATGTACTGCAGACTGCAATATAATTATTGCACTTTAAAGGGATTTACTTTTTTCTATTAAATCTTATACCTGACAACTTTCATTAGCAAAATAATTTGATACAGCAAAATATCAATGCTCACATAAATTAAAAGTAAAAACAATTATAAACGAAGAAAAAAGTCACCAAGATTCTTTGAACATTCAAGTTACATTCTCAAAATTGTCATAACAACATTTCAAAACACAGTTTTCTGGAAAATTCTTCAAGGTAATATTCTTGTAAAATAACATATATTTTCTTTTAAATCCTGTCAAACTAGAATCCTTAATAATATAGAATCTTTAAAATTGGAATAATCTTCATATAATCCAGCTTTAAAGGGACTCCACTGAGGTTTTTTGACATGACAGGACTAGAAATAATTTTTTGAGATTTATGTTACATTTGATGTAGACCTAGACCATTATCTTCTGTGCAAAATTACAGATCATTAGCTCACTCTATTTTTTTTCCAGAATATTCTTATATCGAAAAATAATCCAAAATTGAAAAGCGTTGCAATGCTTTTCTCTGAAATCAGGCTTAAATGCTTCCAGTGGCATAATATACATGTACATTCTTTATATAATTGCTTCACAAGAAGTTAATTTTGCGACATGAAAATATTTTCAATTATAGTATAATACTAACATATTTTGAGCATGCAAAATTTATCTTCATTTTACGGCAAATCTCAGAAGTTTGTGGCGTGACAATGTACTGTGACACAGGTGACAATTTACAATTTATATCACATAACATATTCTTATTAGACAAATAATTCTATAAATCTTTTATATTTCAACACACAATCAAAATAATGAAGAAACAAACTAGGTATATAATGATGAAATGAGCGTATACACTGTACACATTCTATTTTCATAAATAAAGTAACAATTGGTCTAATTCAGTTTATTTTATGCAGTTTCTATTTAAGTTA